CTTGAAGTTTTTTAATTTTTTAAGATTTTTTAAAAAATTGATTTTTTTTTAAAAGAAATATTCTCTTAAATTTTTTGTAATATTTCTTGTATGAGACTTTTCATTTTCCATCAAATTAATAATTGAAAATTATATTATTTTCTATTAAATCAAGTTCTAAATGAATATAGTCTAAGAGATCAGAAATTTTTAGTTATGAATTTGATATTAAAGCTAAGTTTTTGAATAAACTTGTTCAAAAAGTTTGTCTTCACTTATTTTCATATAATTTATTTCAAATTAATATATCTGGTTAATTATAGAATTATTGAAATTGTAAGAGAACAGAAAAATCATAAGTTTTTTAAAAAAGTATATTTGATGGAAATAATTTATCAAACTGAATAAACATTTAATTTGATAACATTATAAACTCTCTCTTCATTACTACTTGAAATTCCACCAATCCTAAGTTCATGTCTTTTTTATAGTCCTAAATAAATTTAATGCAAATTTAATATTAAATGAAAAGAAAAAAAATTCATATATATGTTTGATACTTTGTCTTAACTTGAATTATTAAACCTATATATGAAGAGAGTTTAAGAAAAAATTTTAAAAATACAGTAGACCTCCATATAATGCTTAGATACGTTCCACGTTATTTGAATTTTACGTTGTAGGAATCATTAAATACATGAGCCAATCGCAGCCCGATACGTGTGAAGTTTACGGATTAAGGTTGTTTGAAAGGTTTTCTTCTATAAAATTAACTGATTCTGGACTAATTCCACTCAACATTTCCAAAACACGTATAATTTTTTGGGAATAATCCGTATAAACTATGCNAAAGTTTCTTCTTTTCTCCTAAATTAACTCATTATTAGACTCGATTGGATACGACTAAGGACTTTGGCCTTATGGAGACAACATATGGACTACGTCGGTCTTCTCCAAGATCCGTTTCGTACTCCTGACTAAGGGCATTGGCCTTAGGGAGCGAATATGGGATACCTCCTTTCAATATGGGATCTTTCGACGTACTCCCCGAATCATGCAGATCTTTGACTATATCTCATGATTTGTGACCAATCAGCTTATTTGTCTTCACTCGTGAACGGATGAAAAGGGCAATTATTGAAGGGTCGACAATTCCCAGTGTTGTGAGATTTTTGATAGGTAAGTGGAAAACAAAGGATGCTTCAACTTCCGTTAAAGGAAGTGGCTCTTTTATCAGTTTTCCCACGTTAGAAAAACATTAATTTCACACCAAAATGAAAGAATATTTTACTAAGATTTAACTTCATATTTTAAATTGTTTATTTGGATCTCACACTACTACTTTCCCGATAACCCGTATTAATGAGAGAGAGAGTTTACATTTACTTCGCGTGAGGATAAATACCTTGATATTAGTTATGAGAGTTGAAACTGTAGTCCTTGAGTCTCAATAGGTCCCTTCGAATGATGAGGTTTCTTAGATGCTGGTCTTCCTGCACAGTGGTGATTTTAAAAAGTCACTGGTGCGGCTAATCCACACAGTAATCCTCTAGTTCGCTTAACTCTGGAGACTGTCTTTGACACATCAACCCCTTCTTTTTATAAAGGGGGTATCGTTGGGTTTTTTCCACTGCCTTTAGGACTGGTTTCCATCACTGACCAATAGTTGTTTATTTTTTTTCTCTTCTTAGATTCCAGGTGACACATTCGATGTATCATCTTTAACCAGGAAATAAGTCTGTGGGAAAACAATTTAATGATCTTTTTAAATGTTGTTTTTGGTGTTTATTTCTCTAAACTTTTTCTCTCTCAACAAAAAATATTTAAACAATTTATTTCACTAAGTTTGGCTCTCACATTATAATATTTTTTTATTGGGTATATTTTCTTAAGTAACAAATATATATATATTTACTTATAGTGTGATTTTTTTTTATATATCTCTTTTAAAAAAATCAATTTTTTAAAAAATCTTAAAATTTAAAAAACTTCAAGGGTTAATACTGAATACCACCCGTTGTTTTTTATCTGTAACTGCATTTTATCAGAGACAAAAACTACTAAGGATTACAATTGTTAGTCTTTATTACACAATGCATTTCAGGTACAAAATTTTGTTTCACTTGCACCCCTTTTCAGGTAATACATATCTACAATCAGTAAACAACAGTAGATATGTATTATTTGAAAAGGAGTGCAAGTGAAACAAAATTTTGCACCTGAAATGCATTGTGTAATAAAGACTAACAATTGTAATCCTTAGTAGTTTTTGTCTCTGATAAAATGCAGTTATAGGTAAAAAACAAAAGTGGTATTCAGTATTAATCCTTGAAGTTTTTTAATTTTTTAAGATTTTTTAAAAAATTGATTTTTTTTTAAAAGAAATATTCTCTTAAATTTTTTGTAATATTTCTTGTATGAGACTTTTCATTTTCCATCAAATTAATAATTGAAAATTATATTATTTTCTATTAAATCAAGTTCTAAATGAATATAGTCTAAGAGATCAGAAATTTTTAGTTATGAATTTGATATTAAAGCTAAGTTTTTGAATAAACTTGTTCAAAAAGTTTGTCTTCACTTATTTTCATATAATTTATTTCAAATTAATATATCTGGTTAATTATAGAATTATTGAAATTGTAAGAGAACAGAAAAATCATAAGTTTTTTAAAAAAGTATATTTGATGGAAATAATTTATCAAACTGAATAAACATTTAATTTGATAACATTATAAACTCTCTCTTCATTACTACTTGAAATTCCACCAATCCTAAGTTCATGTCTTTTTTATAGTCCTAAATAAATTTAATGCAAATTTAATATTAAATGAAAAGAAAAAAAATTCATATATATGTTTGATACTTTGTCTTAACTTGAATTATTAAACCTATATATGAAGAGAGTTTAAGAAAAAATTTTAAAAATACAGTAGACCTCCATATAATGCTTAGATACGTTCCACGTTATTTGAATTTTACGTTGTAGGAATCATTAAATACATGAGCCAATCGCAGCCCGATACGTGTGAAGTTTACGGATTAAGGTTGTTTGAAAGGTTTTCTTCTATAAAATTAACCGATTCTAGACTAATTCCACTCAACATTTCCAAAACACGTATAATTTTTTGGGAATAATCTATATAAACTATGCTATAAACAAATAATTGTAGGATTACTTACCGAGTGTGCACCGTTCGACTACGCCGTTGCTCAAGCTTGTTTTAGTTGCGGAACAGCGCACGAAACAGCGGCCGCGATTTCTGATAACGAATTTTTCACAGAAAAATAACTTGACCTTTGGAGACATCATTAATATAAATAATTTTTATGGCCGTTGAATAAAAAATGTTTCTTTCACAAGAAACGTATAAAATTACAGTACTGTATTAGACTTACGATACCTAATTTACATACTGTACAGATGATAATAAACTCAACTTACTAGCCTAAACTCTCTGTAGCGTGGCGCTGGACGGCGGAAATTATATATATAATTATAATAAAGTTACAATAAATTAAGTTAATATATAATATATACAGTACCTAATTTATATATAATTTATATATAATGCTGTACAGACGATAGCAAACTCAATTTAGCCGCCTAAACTCTCCGTACCGTGGCGCTGGGTGGCGGCGGAAAGTAGTTCGGCTGCTCGTCCACTATTGGTCCAGATTTGATCAATCTTGTCGTGACAGGAGTCGGCAACGACGTTTTACGAGTCACTTTATACGAATACTGCTACAATTTTTTTGCTATGTTATAGGAATTTCCGTTATAGGGGGTCGACTGTAATGACAATTTTTATTATTATAACTGATTTATTGAGTAAGAAGGGTTAGAACCTTTTTACAGAAGCAACATATTTAATACATTAATATTTTCATTGTCAAAATGCTACATTATAATAAAGTATAATCTATATACATAAAAATGAATGTGTGTGTGTGTGTGTCTGTCTGTTCTTCATGCATTACCACACCATTTATCCGATTGCTGTGAAACTTTGGGAAGTTGTTTAATATACTCCGGCGAAGGTTTGTGGTATAGTACGATTGCCATAAAACTTCGGAAAGTTTTTTAATACACTCCCGCGAAGGTTTTTGGCATAGTACATTTATCCTACGATAGATGGCGCGCGTTTACACGAGCATTCGAGCAGTGTGTTCAATCGATTTCAAATTCTGAAGACCATTCCCCACTTCAAAAAATATTTCTATATATGCATTTGTGAACTGTTGTTTACGATATTCGTAATAATGTTTGTTTAATCACTTTATTTCAACTTTTTTTGCTAATTACGTATTCGCTCGAACTTTGTTAAAAGTTTAACTGTATACTGAACAACAACCGAAGTTGTAGAAGGAAATTCGCCTATTTTACAGATCTAGGGATCCCCTTTTCCAAATTTTAATATCATCTAATAATTCAAAAAAACAAATTACAATAAAACGGTTTATTATCCAACTATCAGAAATTTCACAACATGCCAAGGAAGAGAGGAAGGAGCAATTAAATAATTAAAATTATAAAGGATTTAAAAATATATATAAAAATGGGGAATATCGCACTTCTGACAATCGCAGCGAGTGTGTGGGCTAAATTTGGAGAATCCGTGCTTCTCGCATGGACAACTGTATGTGGCCGGCTCATGCGTCGAAAAACCTTCCGATTTATTCGTGTACGCACCAGACAGAAAAACAAAAAATATCGTGTATCCAGAAACACTCCAATAAATAAATAGAATTGAAACGACACTTTGAAATGTTTTCCCGATGAAAATGAATAATAATAATAAGTTTCAATAAAAATAATAAAATGTAAATTGAATTTTATCATAACGAGTTTGCTTGAATTTCGTTTCTTCTGAGATCGCAGCAATGCGCGACGGGTAAGCTAGTAATTAATAAATTAAATTGATTTATACCTTAAATCTGTTTCTGTTCTTTAGTTACATAAATTAAAAGTTATTTAAAGTATGCATTTGAAACCTGGTCAAATTCTTCAGATTCAAACAAAAATCTTGGTACAGATTTACTTGTATTATATCAAGTATTTTGTACGTTTCATGCTCTCTAGAGGAGCGGTCTCCAATCTTTCTGACCTGAAACATGAATACTAAACTCAATTTTGAATTCAGAGGATCACTATCATGAATTTTTTAAAATGATACAAACATCTATAGCAGGTATGGTGAATCTTTTTTGTTTTTGCATGCCATATTGTAAGCATACTTAGCTTTAAAGATGTTTATGAATGCTAAGGTTTCAGACTTTGAATAATGATATTTAAAGAAATTTAACGAATACACTTTAATTAGAATAAATGTGAAAAAGCTGATTGAAAAAAAGATGATCAAGTGATAAACCGAAAGGATGATTGAAAAAGACAGAAATTGTATGATACATTACGTGCCAGATGATTTCTCCTTGTGTGCCACTTTGGGCTAGCGTGCCATAGGTTTGCCACCCCTGATCTATAGGATAATGATCATAAAAGTTTCATTTTACTTTATTAAAATGAAATTAACTTGTTTAATTATAAAAAATTAGTGTGAAATTTGTTGCTGCTTGTTTGAAATAAGTTTATGGATTCTTGGCTCTTTTCCATAAAGGACAACAATCACACTCACAACATTATTTATTGATAACAGTCATTTTATGTTTGGTTTCAGATTCGAATAAAAAATCCCCCAATGAGTGAGAAAAAGCAACCAAGCATTTTACATTTCTTTTGTAATACAGTAGAGCATCGATTTATCCAAAACAATTTGGGACTAGGGTTGTTTGGATAATTGATTTTTCGGATGTACAACCATCTGACTCCGATTCTGACCATTCTGACTATAGAAATTATTAGGCTTCAAACAGGGTAAACAAAATCATGCCCCCCACACAGTCTAACATCCACACATATAGAAAAAACCTCGAATCTTTTGCATATTTTGAAATTTCAAGGTGTCCTGAGTCCAAAAATGTAAAAATTTGGGAGGGGTCATTTTTTTGAGTGAGCGCTACGCTTTTCCACTGTTATATATAACAGCCGGAAAAGTAAAAATTATCGAATACATATTTATATATTACTTAGAGAAGTCTTTTAGCTTTGGAATAAAAAGTTTCTATGCTCTATCTTTATTAGAACTCTATTTATTGAATCTTTTATTCTGAGGTCACGTGATGACATCACAATTTCCGGGTTTCTTTCAGTAACAAATCTGCCCCTGGTTGGGGTCAGAGAGAGTCGGATGGTAAGGAAGAGTCGGAGTTGGAGTCGTTAGATTTTTGCGCGACTCCACAGCCCTGGTAAGAAGATAACAGTTTTAGAATTAAAGTGGAAAATTTTCTTCCAGTTCTTTTTTGAATTAGTTTCTTAACTAATGTTGGAACATCAATGAAATGAATCAAATACCTTATTTGTGTCAATAAATGCAGTTAAAAATTTCCAATGAATTAACCACAATAATAGAAATAGTGTTATTTCAATGCCTTTATTCTTAAATTAATTAAGCCTTTATTCTTAGTAAACAGAAATTGAAATTTAGATGGGTTTTCCTTATCTAGCCACTGTTGGAACTGATTAGCAAGTGTTGTATTAATATTAATAGTAAAGCATTTTCTGATTGTTAATAGTGAACAATCAGATATTAATTCTGTGGATGAGATCTATCACTTTTATTTTTAAAAATTTATTAACTTTATTCCAAGCTGAGGAAAACAGTTGAGTTGTAAATTCTCTTAAATAAATTGAGTACTGCTTACTAGATGGGATAGCTTTAAATGTTTTGTTTAGGCATGCAGCCAGAGTTTTCTTATGGGCTCATTTCTCAAATTTTATTTGGCAGTGGCTATGGTTGACACTTTAACTGCTTCAGCCTTCTGTCCATCTTTTTGCTACAGGCAATATTCTGTGGAATCTGATATGAAAAGCACACCATGATTAATTAAAAGCAGATATGAACATTTAGGAGATCCCTGCAAAAGTCCAGGATTTGGTTCTATGTCAGCAATTATCAATAGCAATAAAATAAACTCGATTTTGCATATACAGTAGACCCCCTATAATACGGTAGATATGTTCCGTTTTATATAAATTCCATGTTTTACGATCACTTAAATACATGAGCCAATGAGTGGGCAGTTAGGGACTATGGCTGTTTGAAAGGTTTTATTTCATAAAATTAATTGATTCTAGACTAATTTGACTCAACATTTCCAAAAAATGTATAATTTTTTGGGAATAATCCATATAAACTATGCTATAAACAAAAAATTGTAGGATTACTTAACAAGTGTGCACCGTTCAATGACGCCATTGCTTAAGCTTGTTTTTGTCGCGAAGCGGTGCATCGAACGGCAGGCGTGTGTTTCTGATAAGTTATTTTTCTGTGAAAAATTCGCTGAATTTTGGAGACATCATTAATATAAATATAATTTTTATGGCCATTAAATAATAAATGGTTTTTAGTAGGTTTGCTGCTTATTTAAACTCAACGGTTTGTGCAATATCTGCTATTAGTCTAGATTCGAACAATCCTGTCACAACACGAGTCGGCGATGACATTGATTATAAGAGTCTCTTTTAGCGTGTTTATACAAATACGGTCACAATTTTTTTGCCGTATTATATGAATCCGTATTATATGAACCTGTTTTATAGGGGAGTCTACTGTATAAACTAGATTAATTTGAGCACAATATACACCAATTATAATTATCTTCAGACTAATTTAAAAAAAAATTAGTAAAAGAAAAATAATGATAATTATAAGTTATATTAAAAATTAAAATTTCTGTATTTATATTTATTTTTGTAAATTGTTTGTATTCCGTGTAATAAAAAATTAGTAATTTCTTTTAGGAAATATTTGCAGATCTCCAATTGCTGAAGCAATATTGGATAATCTTACAAAGGAGAAAAATGTTTCAGATCAAGTGAGTTTTTGTATTTTTCTTTAATATAATAATTTACAATTAAACTATTAATAATTAATTAATATGCAAAAAATATTGCAGTATTGTGAGATAAAGAGATAAAACATTAAACAAAACTGAGATAATTTCTGGTTATTTTTACACATTAAAAACACAAGAGCCTAGAAAAATCCAAGGACTGGCTATTGCCTGATTTATTTTAAGTGAATTTTTGCTCTTTTTAAATCTTATGATGTAGATGTTTTAGTATGCCTTTCAAATTTAAATGATAAAAATTAAAAATGTTTTAAATTAAAATTAAATTTAAAAAAATCAATTGCCACTAAATACTGTAATTTCCTGTGAATACATTTGGGTTATCTGTGTTTTAAAATGAGTTTGAAAGCCAGGTGCAGGTTATTTACCATTGTCAATTTTAAATTTGATGTGAACCTATTCAACATCTTTTTCCATTGTCTAAACCAGTGATTCCCAAACTTTTTCAAACCCCTGTCTCCTTAGTTCCATAAAACTTATACTGAACATCCCTAACCCATTTTCCCTTGTGTGAGAAAGACTTGGAAATATTCTTAGAAAAACTTTTCTACGAACCTCACAATTTGTGTCTTTACCATACGTTGTTCTTCACATCTTTTCTTTGCACATTTAATGCTTTCTTTGGAAAGCATTAAATGTGCAAAATATTGTTTTTTTAACCTGGAAAATCTCTCAAATTTCTTAAAAATTCACTTTTTTCTTATTTTGTGTTAAGGTTGAGGAAATTTTGTAAATAAAAAGCATAATTAACTCATAAACTGTCAGAATACATTTGTATTTATTAATTTTAAACCTACTTATTAGTTTTTTAAATTTTTGCTTGTTATGGCATGTCACAAATGGTCAATAATCAATATGTAGCTTATTTGTGGCAGGACTCTCAAAATTTTTTACTTGTCAGAACCTGTAATATCTGGAATAATTGTGCTCATGCTGTCTTAATTTTTAACCACGCCCAGTAGCTTCAATAACTGCATAACATCAGGTTGTGCAAATTAGGCAAGGGTACAGACGAGTACGAAGTATGCAAGTATGAAGTTTTACTTCATAAACCTGATTATTAAAGACAAACGAACTGCTGAATTATTGGGCTATGATGTTTCTATTAAAGCAGTTGAGACAAATCAAGAATACTAGAGAGCTAAAGAAGTACTACAATCTCGAAAACGAACTAGAACTCTTCCAGGCTACAGGTGAAAAACATATAATATCAATCTTCTCTTAAATGCATTAAACACAATTCCAATCACATCAATTGAATCGGAAAGGGCATTCTTGGTAGCAAGACTTTTCATTACTAAAATAAGAGTCAGATTGAGTGATCGGAGTATTGACCATCTTTGCTTTTTAAAATCTTATAAAAATTTACAATAATATTTTGTACTATGTTTTATTTAAAAAAACAAAAATTGCCTTCTAAGTTAGAAGTCTGATCTAAGTTGTTTTTTTTTTTTTTTTTTGAAAATTTCTACATAATTTAAAGGTAATTTTTAATATGTACCTTACATAGCATTATTAATATGATTTTGGAAGTTGCAGAACATATTAAATTACTTTAAAAAAATGAATAATAATTATATCATTTGATTCTAAGATATTTTGTGTCTTAAAAATAATTAATTCTATCCTGGGATTTCCTGGGATCCCGGGAAACAGTTCACTTTTATCCTGGAATCCCGGGACAAGCAAAACACCAGGAAATGAGAAACCCTAATCCCAACTCTTGCCTATGGTTACTGTTAAGTACCCTGCCTCCAGCATCCTTGCTGCCCACTTGCTTCTTTTCATCCCCCAGATTTATTCACCACCCACAGAGGCAGTAGCACCCACTTTGGGAACCATTGGTCTAAACTTACCAAGATCCTTTTTAGAAGTCACAAAAAAAATTTTTACATGTCACAAACATTTGCTTGTTATTGTGATTCTTTTCCAAACCACTAAAAACATGTGCTTCACTTTTAGTTTAGTGCTACACTACATCAATCCGTATTTTAATTGACATTATTAGACATTCTTGTTTCAACTTATATCTTGAAAGCTGATATTTATTTATCAAATTTAACATTAATTATTTAACAAATTAATTTATTCTGTTAAAAATTGAAAATTAAGAAAATTCTGTACTAGATACTACTGCAGAATGTATTAACTTGATTAACATGTAATTCATTGTATTGATAAAAGTTTATAACAAAAAATAATTTAGTATTAAATATATTTTATTATAGTAACATAAAACATATAAAAGATTAACAGTTACATTAATTTTGTACTATTTTATTTTTATTAATATGAACTTTATATTATTATTTTTTATAATTTGAATAAAAAAATCATATAAAATTTTTAGTGGCTGATTGATAGTGCTGCTACAGGAGACTGGCATATTGGAAAAAGACCTGATAAAAGAGCATTAGCTTGCTTAAAAAAACATGGTATAGAAACAAGTCATAAGGCAAGACAGGTAAATTTTTCCAATTTTTTACATATTCAAAAGCAAAAATTAAATTATTAATATTATATTAAAGAAAGTAAATGAAATCAACATTGTATTGGGTCCCAGGATAATTTAGTCCTTTTGTTCTCTCCTCTGGGTGGCTTTGTGTATACTTGGATCAAATACTAATGAATTATCATCATCATACAATCTGTACAACTGAAAGTACTAAACTGCAATGAGTGAAAGCTGTTTATAATTGGTAACTACAATATAAAATGATAAATTATTGATTTTCATCAGTAAATCAATAATAGATAATTCTAATACTTTTGCTTTAACCAATAAAAACTTACTGCAGAACACAGATCAAAAATTAAATTTATTCCATAGAACAATTATTTTCATAACATAATTTAAAAATTACAATGAAACTTTCAATACAAATTTAAACTTTAAANATTGTAAATAATAGATATGATAAGATGTGCTTATATATTTCAAAATCACATTTAAAAGTATATTAAAATAATTCAGAAATGTAGCTTATTATTGAGGTTATTTAATTCATGTAACAATAACAATGAATATATAAACATTTGAACTTTTAAGAGCAAGTTTAACAGTATTTTTTTACAGTAAAAAGATGGGATAAAGATTATCAAATTCTCTTTAAATACTTATCATTTATATAGTTATGTTTTTTATAAACTGTAAATAAAACCAAATATTTATGTGAGCATTTTTTTTTGTTTAAATCTTATAGTATTAGATTTAAATAATAAAATAATTGACATTGATGAATTATAATCATGCTGTCGAATCAATATTAATAATCTCTGAAAAATTATTCTGAAGTTAACTGTGGAATAAGACATTGTCTGGACATATATCAATTGTCCAATAACAATGAACCAGCAGTTTCCAGTTGGTATGCCATAATGCTGCAGTAGAAAATTTTTTTATTTAAAATTCGTAAAAAATTACAAAATGTACTCTATTTCAAAAGTTTGTTCCTGTCAAATATCGTAGAAAAGGTATGGTACAGAGACAGAAATCATTGCTTTCAACACTGATTTCAATACAGATTTAGAGAATTCTTATGATATGCTATTGCTTTTTTACATTTTGAAAGCTTAGAAAACATTTCTTGCATTTATAGTCATATATACAGAGTAGTTAATAACATTTCAAGAAGACTTCAAAACTTAATTCTATATTTATTTAGGAAAAAATCCAATATAAATTTAAAATTGTTCCTTTGATTACACTACTGATTTTCCTATAAACTTTCTTCTAATTATCAACTTGTTTTAAAATGAAAGCCATGCAGTAGTAGTAGTAGTAATAAGACAGGTTTCACTGTTTAGTACAACTTCTGTTTTGGAAAAGGGGGAAGATGGGAATGGGGAAGAAGAAGTGTGGGTGAGAAAGGAAAGGGGATGAAGAAAGGGTTGGAATCCATGGGTGTCCTGCGACATTGCTTTATAAGGAAATGTTCAGTAGAAAATACAATAACAATAACAAGAATGTTACAGAGGAATACATGTTGGGAGTGCTATGTTACAAATTGCAAATAGCACTAACATATGTACAGGTAATAACATATAGTATGCAGATTAATGTTGATTCAAGAAATTACATGTTGAGTGCTGTCTAACAAATCACAGATACTACAAACATAAGAACGGATGACAAACATATGTACAGTATGTTTGTCATCCAGCCAAACATTATTCAGATTAACAATAGTACAGAAATTACATGGGGAGTGCTATGTGACAATGACAGATAGTACAAACATATTTACAGATGACAAATGTATATACAGTATGCAGATTAACTGCTTAAACTAGATACAGGATGAGTGCTACGTGCCAGATTGCAGATAGCCCAAACAAATTATCAGGTTACAAACATATTTACAATTGACATTTCTACAGTTACACTAAAAGCACAGACATAGTGTTTTTATTAATGTATGGTTTTAACATCGTAGTTCAGTAGATTTGCATGACTACGAGGGTTCTGCCACTGACTAAATGTTTCTCATTCTCTCTGTGAGCACTTTGATGCTCTATAGGTAATTATTCAGGTGGATTGTACAGTACATGTCTTTCTCATATACTGGGCTTGTAGAGGACATGGCCAGTTATTGTTGTTACAAAGTGTAGCCTTAATGAGTCTTTCTCTGTTGCTGTCGAAGAGTGGACAGTCAAACAATAGGTGAAGGTAGACTTGTTTGGTGTTTGTGTTGCACCTGCAGATCTCGCTTTCCCTTAGCCAGAACTGGTGGAGGTAAACATTGAAGTTCCTATGACCAGTGAGAACTTGTGGCAAAGTTGGGAACAAGATGCCTGCAACTCAGCCTGGCAGAAATGTCTGGAATGAAGCCATGAGTGGGATGGCCTGTAGCACAGTTGTTTCACTCTTCTTGCCAAGTTTGCAAAAGTTGGTTATGGATCCATTTATGGATAATGGAAGGTGGTATCTTACTGTAAGAGCAAGGAAGGGACAAGACTGCAGCTCTTTTGGCGAGTGTCAGCTGCCTCATTCCCCTCCATCCCAGAGTGGCCACAGACCCAGTTAAGGGGATGTGATGGTGGTGGTTACTACTGATAAGCATTTTCTGAATGGTGGTAACATTGTAGCCATTGTTGTTGGTGTTGGAAATTGAGCAAAGAGCTGTAATGCCGTCTGTATAGATGGCTATTTTCTTTTTTCAGGGGACCCAGTCTTCATTGATGTGATAGAGTGCCTTGGTGATGGCCTGTGGGACGGAACAGTACTCACTGAGCTTGAAAGCAGACCGGTGAATAATGTTGCCTGCCTTGTACTGTACATGATAAAAGCTCTGCCCACTTGATCCTCTTGCTTGGAACTGTCCATGTAGATTTTATAATCCTGGTCATTCTCTTCATGGTAAGTGAGGTCCTGGATGTTCATGGAAAGAGTCATATCTATATAGGAGTTTGGAATTTTCTTCTTGATACCATTGATAATGAGGTCTTCGTAGATTTTGTCAGGAAGGTTTGGAAGGGTTTTGTGTTGAATTTTATCTTTCTGGTCAGAGAGGTCAATCATGTTTTTGAGATTCCAAGATTGCATAGCTGCTCTAATTTTAAGGTATAGAGGGCACAGCATCCATTCATGACCAGAAGAGCCGATATAGTACAGTATGATAGGCCCCGGCAATTCGCAATGCTGCAATTCTCTGGACTTTGTTAAATTTTTTGATATTTGTTTGCTTGTAGGTGGTCTTTCCCCAGATAGGGGCAGCATAAAGTATAATTGGCTCTACGCCACCCAAATAGATATATTTGACAGCATTGTATCTGATCCCCCAGTTATTGGCTGCTATACTAATCAGTCTGTTGGAGACTACTCTTGCCTTTTTGTAAATGTTGTCTATGTGCTTCGTCTAGTGCAATTTTTCATCCAGGGTTACCCCAAGGTACATTAAGTCCTTCACCCTAGAGATTCTTGTATTGTTGATTTTAATGGTTGGACTTTTTTGAAGTTTAGTATTTTTTGGAAATCTGATATACTTACACTTGCTGTAATTTATAGGCAGTTTACTATCAGTGCTCCATTTGTAGATGGTGTCCATTATGATATTACATAGGGGGGCCAGATTATCACAGTTTTTGTCGGAAACAAGGGCCATTGTGTTGGTGTCATCAGTGTACCTTTGCACCAAGAAGCCTGGTATCCTGTTGCAGATGTTCAAAAGGTCATTGTGAACTAGAGTCCAGAGGGTCAGGCTGGCTATAGACCTCTGAGGGCAACCCTTGGCTGCTTGAGAGATTGTTCATATAAAAGCCAATGTGCCTATCTTCAAGAAAGCTACTCATGATGTTAAAGATGTTATTAGGGCAGTGATATTCACGGAATCGATACAGGATTTCCGGCCACCATAAGTTATCAAACGCTCCTTGGAAATCAATGGAAATTTGAACAGAGTGTTTACCATCTTTCTTGGCCTTTTCAATATAATCAATGATTGAGGCCAGGGCTGATAGTTGACCTACCAAGAACAAAGCCATGTTGGTGGATGTTGATAAAGTTATTCTACATAAAGTGGTTGGTGATAAATCTGTCCAGGATTTTACCCATGATTGGCAGAAGGGAAATGGGTCTGACAAGTGGATTTCACTGAGGCAGACTTCCAGTCAACAGGGAAGTACTCAATCTGAAGGCACCAATTATATAGTACTACAAAGAATGTTGGAAGTGCTTCGAAGGTTTCCTGTCATTTTGCCTGTTATTGTGTCCTTTCCAGGGCCTTCTTTTTATTTTTATTTTTTAAAGGCTTTGGAAACTTCACTGTAAGTGAAAGGAGGATCATTACGTGTTTGGGATGACTCTAAAGAGGTCCCGTTTTTCTTTATGCACACTATTATCATCAGTTTGATTATCAGTGGGGAAGTGGTGGTCAAAGATGGTTTTTATTGTGTCACTGAAGGAGGTGGTTAGGGTACATTCAGTTTGTGGATTGGCAAGGGAATGCCTGTTTTACACTGTTTTTTTGAAGTCAATGTAGTAGGGGTTGGTCCAGGATTTATCGAACTGCCCACAGAACTTCCTCCAGGCTTTATGTCCCTGTTGGTTAATTAAGGTTATTAAACTTGTTGATATAGGCAGCACAAAGGGGTTGCAAAGGTCACTGTTGTTTTTGGTATGCCTTCCTTAACTTTCTAACCTCTCTCCTTACAGTTGCAAGCTTGCTGTCCCACCATGGTACTGAAGTTCTAGCTTTTGTTTGGTGGGAGGTGTTGTGATAGCAAATTTTTATGCAATTGTTTAGGTGGGTGATGCACTTATCAATGTCTTTTTTGTCCATCTCTGTTACAGGCATTTCAATATTTCCAGGAACATTTAAGTTATTCACAAAAGGCGTTCCAGTTAGTTTTTGTTACATAATTGTCAGTGTGGACAGATTTGCTTGTAAGGTTTAAAGTAGTTTTAATACAGTGTTTCTCAACCTCTAACGAATCGTCACCCCCTTCAATAAAACTGTTACGTAGTATTACCCTCTTCACTACAAAATTCTGATGCCGAGGGACAAGGCTAATGCCAAATTCGTACTGCATTGAATGGACTAGTTACTAGTATAATGTTATTTGTTTAATTATTGTATGATATAACGAATAAAATATTTAATTATTTTTAATATAATGTTTTACTATATTGTCCAGAAAATTATTTTTCGCTCCCAAAATATAAATTGTTACTAATTGCTCCCTCAACATGGAAAAACGCCCACATGGGGGAGATATCGTCCCATTGAGAAACACTGTTTTAATATATCTAAGATCACTGGCACTAGGATAGTCTTGTGTGCTACAGTATACAATAAGGTTGTTCATGTTTCTGTTTGAAAGCACCATGTCCACCCACCTGTCACCCCTGCTGATGTGATAGGTTGACAAGGGGCTGGTGTTGTTAGATAAAAGTTGATTTATGGAGGCAAATTCGAGAAGGGCATGGCCCCTTGGGTCCTCTATGTCACTATGCCATACTGGTGACTTAGCATTGGCATTCCCTCCTATTAGTCACGGCTGGTTCAGGAGCTGATTCTCTCCAGTTCCTCCAACAGAGGTCCAATGTCCCAGAATGGAGAACAATATATTGACATAAGAAAAGCTGGATTGGTACTGTTACTATGTATGGCTATGGTAGTGGCATATTCAGAACTTAGCTTGGGAAGGAATTGAGTGTCCATGTTGGGTTGCAGATGAAGAAGATACCAGTTTTTGGTTTAGCAGTGTATCCACGTGGGGAAATGTTGTCCATTTGCCAAAATGTGAAAAGTAGTCTTTATAAAGGTATGGTTCTTGTACCATTATAACCTATTTTCCAATCTTCTGCTGTTTTAAGCAGGAGGGAAGCCCTGTTGGCACTTTGAAAATTGATTTGGAATATGTTTAGCTTTGTGTTGTATGGTTGCTGCATCTTGCCTTGATTTCCTCTATTGGCCATAGTTGGTTTTTTGAATCATTGATGCTTTGTTCGGACTGTAATTGGGCAGCCTGCATCAAATGTGTTGTGATCTGTTCTGAGTTTATAGCCTTCTTCTTCGGATTTATTCTCCATTTTGCAATATATGCAGTAGGGTGGTCTATCTAGTTGATTGCAGTCTGCGTATTTATGCTGCTTTGTGCAGTGACTGCCTGTGAGATATTCTATACATTTTTGGCATAATGGCCATATCCGCAGCAGTTATAACATCTTATTAGGGAAATGTAGTCATCGGCCTTTACATTGGCCCATGACAATGATATGTGTTTCAGACCGACAATTGCTCTTCTGATGTTTGGGGTGACTGCAATGACCATGTGCCTGCAATTTTCTTTCTTCTGGCCTCTATTCAAAACAGTGCTGACTCGACAGACAGACAGAAATTCTTGTTTGTCAATTACTTACAGTTCTTTGTTTTGTTCATATATATAGGGGAGAATATCTTCATTTTCAGCTGTGTTTGGTACATTTAACAGAATAACTCTGAGGAGTCTGCCCATAGATGTTGAGCATCTAATTTTGTCTTTAACGTGTGCAATATTTTTGATCGCATTTGTGAGAGACCAGATGAGATGGAAATTTTAATTAACCACAACAAAATATTTCAAATTAATTAAGAATAACACTTAAATTTCACTTATTCTATAAAGAAAAATTTTCCCAACACAATAAAAAATTGGAAGGATGTGATCGCATCTTTCCCTGGACTTCCTTTCCAAAACAGACACATCTTCGAATGTATGTGTCACCAGGAACTTTCATCCGAAATTTATCTATTGGTCAAAACTTTAACATTGCCTAAAAAGGGCATCAAAATCAAGGGGGAGGACCCCGAAATAAAAAGACGAACATTGAAATTGACAAGCAAGTTTTTCTATCCATATCCTTGTGCAAGTGTATTCCAGCTGTGCTCTGCCGCTAGACCATAGCTGTGTTTACTTGAGCTTAAGTCTTGAACTTCAGTTTCAATATTAATGAAGTTAATATTGAAACTGAAGTTCAAGTTTTTGGTTGAATGTCCGGTAGGGACATTCAACCAAAAACTGTCCCCATCCAGGAGTATTACACAATCCAGTGGAAACCTCTTCACCCCTTCGTCAAGACAATCCACAGCATCAATCAACCTACCAATCAAGGTATTTCACATCACGCATAATAATGTAAGCTCTCTCTCTTAGCTAGACCTGTTAACTTCAATACTCAATTATGTTACGCTATATAGCAGGGGTGGCCAACATGCGGCTCTTTGAAGGATTATTTGTGGCTCTCGATAAACGTACCCGAGTACCCTTTTCATTTTTGTGTTATTATATTTTAAAAAATTATTATCGTTCCGTATGTGTTTCAAAATGTCTTTTAAATTACTAACAACAAATATGAAAGACTAAGTGCAACATTGTAACAAATTTCATTTCCATCCAAGTTAAGAATGATATGACTCATCGTAAACTGTGCGAACGAACATAAACAGTGGCGTAATCATCCGTTATCGACGACTCCAGACCGATTTTGAATTTGTAAACTTTCATTGCAACAGACAGTTGACATTGTGCTCTGGAGGAAACAATTTGTATCACTCTTGCTACGGATATAATTTGTAATCTGGAATTTTTTGCATACCTTTTTAATACGTATTTAATTGCGGCTCACGAAAAATTTCAAATTTTGAAAAATGGCTCGGACTATCAAGGAGCTTGGCCACCCTGGCTATATAGCTTTATCTAATTTAAGCCGTTATTTGAAAGCTATAATGGAACTCTGTTATCCTATGTATATGTGTAAATAATTTACAAAAATAAACAAGTATTTTCCCCTTATAATTAAGTTGTAATGTGAACTTCTTTTGGCGGCATTGTCTCTCAGGCTGTCTCCATCCTGGTCCCCTAGTGTCTACGTATGCGACCGTTCATGCAAAAATTGGAACAGCAGCCAACAAAGTTTCTGTATCTGCCTTAATTTAAAGAATACATAGGTGTCAGTCCTGACATAAGCATCACCAGTCTGGTGCTGATTCTCTGGTCACACATTCATAAATACCCTCCCTCTTTGACTGCCAAACTGGATGCAAAATCCGTCATTTCTCACATCCTTTATCGTCTTGACACTGATTCAGAGTTTTTGAGGCTCGATTGTATTTAGAATTGTGTCTAACTTTTTTGATATCTGGGGATCCATGTTTTCTTTTGTGTAAACCAGAACAGCATGGCTGACAACAGTACCCTCTTTGCAGTTTTCTGTTTAATGACTTATCGATCACCCTAGTAGTTGAGCTTGGTTGAATTAGTCTGTTACTTTTGGTAATAGTGGCATAGGTTGGTTGGCTCCCCCGTCCATTACTAAATATGTGTGCTGGGTTTTGTTCTGAGTTCCCTAAGGATTCCATATATTTGGCTGACACAGCTATGTAGCTGTGAAACCCTTTCCCGGATCTCCTTACTCTCCTCTATCTTTAAATTTGACCGGTAAGTTTCAGGTATCAAGTCAAGTATTTTCCATAGGTGGGAACTTGCCTCTTTCAGCATTATGTTCTCTACTGGCCCAAGAACAACAGCTAGGCCACTTTGTGAGTCTTGTGTGTTAAGTTCAGCTTGAGATTGTACACTGTTCGACTGCATTATTCAAGCATAGGTAGTAAGCCACATGCAAATGATGTCAAAGGAATCACTTGAGTGCACAAATGTAAAAGTACTGACAATTCACACATAAGTACATGCTGAACTATATTACACTAATTAAATGAAGACTATTTAATTTATTTCCAATTAACTATAAGGTACCTACTAATTAAGCTAGTAATGCATTTTAATGAATAAACAGACAGTTGAAACTGTTATAAAGTTCATTGTAACTTGGAAAATTTAAAAAAAAAAAAAAAAAAAATTGACAAAGCTGTAATACTATAATACTAAATTGTTTAAGTCCCTGTAACGCCTGTAATGTAGGAATGTAACTGAAAGTAACAGTGACTGAAGGCTTTGCAGCTTGTTTTGCAAGACAGTCATCAGTTTCATTGCTGGGAATTCCCACGACCTAGGACCCATTGGAAATCCGTTCTAATGTTGTTGTCTAAGTGTCTGAGAATGTGGTGTATTAGATGACGAGTTTTAAGTGGCTATCAGACTTTGCAATCCTGTGTAAAGCTATCCTACTGTCAAAATAAATGTGATAGTGTAAGTAGTGTCTTTTGTCCTTCCTAAGCCTAATGTGAATTAAGCTCATGTAAATAGCTAAAGTTTCTACCTGTGCTATTGAACAGTGTGTACCTAGATGGAAGCAAGCATTGTGAAGCTTGCAATCTAAATCAGAGTAAACTACAAAAGCAGCACCCACTTCATTACCCATCTTGGAACCATCAGTGTAAATCCTAAACATGGGATGATCACCTAGATCTTCAAAGTAAACATTATGGGCAAGCTGATGGGAGGGGTGGTAATTGTAAGTCGAGGGGAACTTTAGAATATAATTCTCAATATTAAGAGCTAAAATTTTCTAATATTTCATATATTGACAAGGAGAAAAATACTAATCTTCACTTGTAGGTTTTATTAAAACTTCAATAGTTTTCTAAATTTATATTAGGTTTGTATTTATAATTACTTTAATGTGTAAAAGTGATTTTATGATTTTTATAGCTCTGTAGCGATGACTTCGATAATTTTGATTATATATTTGGCATGGATCACAACAACATCGAGTATGTTATCTAACAATTAATTTGATGTATTGATAGTTAAGAAACTACAACAAATTTTAATGATTTTCTTTATTTATAGAGATATAAAAGATTTTGCACCTAATTCTCACTCAGCTAAAATTGAATTACTTGGAAAATACGATCCGAAAGGGGAATTGATAATACGAGATCCATATTTTGTAAGTATTTAAAAAATTTCATTATTATACATACAGAAGGAACACTAAATTAGAGATATCTTAACTGAATATTAGATGGGTTTTTTCCTGAGATCATAGCAAGGATGCACCTTAACATCAACTCCGCAAGATGCCTTAGTATTGTGGATCAACATTTCGTGAGCAGTCCTTGATGGCATTACAGGGTTGCAAGCTTGAAAACTCAATGATGATTGATTATATCAAGGTCAGAATACAGTGATGCCTGACATCTGTAGAATGTTCTTCCAGTCATGCTGAAAATATCCTGTGCCTATGGTGGTGCATGTGATCTTCCAAAATGGTTGCATATCATCAGCTTTGAGGGATGATGTTGACAGGAGGAATCCTGTGTCATGCTATGAAAACATTCCTCTATATCATTAACATCTGTCTGAACTACCTCAATGTGACACACAATGATTCCATAAATTTGTGGGGTTTGTGTCAGAATCTGAATCTTCCATTGACATGAACTAAGATGACTTGACTCATCAAACCAGGCAACTCATTGGCAGACAAGGTGTTGTGCCTTGTGAGCTGCATCTGGGAGTGACACTTTAATGTGTCACTGGCCTCTATAGCTCTTGCAATGAGTCATCACTACACTATTCATTGGCACACCTGTCACTGTTGTCCAGTATTAAACTGTGCTATAATTTTTGTTGCATAGTAGCCATCCAGTTAATCATTTCTATGCCTTTTGCTACCCAGGTCATCAATGACCCTGTAGTTGTGACAGTTTTGTCATGCTGCAGATATCTTTCCACATTGTTGATATTCTTGAGACAGTTGCATAATCTCTAAAATGGATTGGCTTGTACAGTACATTCAGCTCCCACAATCTGGCTGTGGTCAAAATCACTCAAGTCTTTCCATTTACCTGTCATAAAACAAATTGTAATAGAAAATGAGACTGGTTGTGCCAGCTTGATGCATAAGGTCAGGGATAGAAGGGTTGTCAGCTCCAACATTGCACTATCTCTAATTTAGTGTTCTTCAGTGTATTATTTATTCTCACTTTGGTACATTGATTTTTTTCCCTCTTCCAGGATGATGGATCTGAAGGATTTGACACTGTCTATGAACAATGTTTAAGGTGTTGCAAAGCATTTTTAGAGAAGCAATAAAAGGTCAACAAATCACTTAAACCTTTTATTTATCAGAATTATGATTTGATTTTCTTTTCTTTTTGGCCTGTTTTTTCTGTTCTTTCTTTTCCTGGTATTCTTCCATATTATCATACCATTTTTTGTACAAAATTTCAAAATTATTTTGTACATGAAGTGATTCTGAAAGAAAATAAAAATAAAATATGTAAAAATTGTAACAAAATGCATTGTTAAATTCATATTTTTGAAATTGTTACCTGAAAAATATTCCCAGTTTGCATTAACTGAATTAATTAATGATGTAAGTTTGTTTGTAGTTTCAATGGATTCAAACTAAAAAATTTTAATTCAGTTTATTAAAAATATAATTAAAAAACATTAATATAATTATACCTACTTTACATGATTGATCATTACATATTGTAGACTTCAATATATTAAGAACATTGTCTTTTATAGGAAGTAATAGCCATAATAAATCTTGTTCACAAAACTCAACTTTCCATGGTTCTGCAGAATATTCAAATATTTGCATTTGTACAACTGAGAAAATACAATCTTCTGGTTTATAATTATATTGATAAATTATAATACAAGACAGCCTGTAAGAAATAAATTTTATATAAAATTCTAAACAAACATTACTTAGTATAAAAATCTTTCATGATACTAATGATAATGTGTGGCAGTATAATCACTAGATTATATTTGCTTTATTGTTTTTGCATAAAGTATAGTAATTATAATAGTGCAAAACAGATAAAAGTTGTAATATGATGAAAAAGTCTACTACTAAAAATAATTAAATTTCAATGTTCGTGATTTCTTGCAGAATTTTCTAATCCATTTGGATTTACACAATAAAATTTATTCTGTGTTCTAGTTTTTAGATTAATGGGGTTAATCTGCATTACATATATCTTAATAAGAATTCAGTTTCACTATTTCAATCCTTAAGTTATGGTGAATCAGATTAAGAGAAACGAGTAACTAATTGTGTAAATTAATAATAATTACTGGCCATTTTTTTTAAATAAAAGGCCAACACCAAATTTTTCAATGCAGAAAAATAAGTACAGTAGACCCCCCCTATAAAACGGGTTCATATAGTTCGGATTCCTATATGATGGCGAAAAAATTGCGACAGTATTCGTACAAACATGCTAAAAAAAAAACTCGTATAATTTGGTAAAACATCATCGCTGACTCGTGTCGCAACAGGATTGGTCAAATCTAGACCAATAGCGGATATTGCACAAACTGTTGAGTTTAAACGAGCAGTGGACATACTAAAACCATTTATTATTTATGTCCATAAAAATTATAAAACAAAATTAATAAAATTATTTATATTAATGATGTCTCCATAATTTATCAGGAAGCACATGAGTGCCATTCGATGACAAGCTCCATGGCGAAAACAAGCTTAATTAAGCAATGGTGGTGTCGAATAGTGCACACTCGGTAAATAATCCTACAATTTTTTGTTTATAGCATAGTTTATATTGATTAGTCCCAAAAAATTATACGTATTTTGGAAATGTTGAGTCGAATTAGTCTGGAATTGATTAATTTTATGGAAGAAAACGTTTCAAACAGCTGTAGTCCATAAACTGCATACATGTGATTGGCTCATGTATTAATTTAAGGACTCATGGAACATCAATTTCATAAAGAATGGAATGTATCTACCGTGTTATAGGGGGGTTGACTGTATATAATATGATATGTAATTAATTTGTTCAAATTGTAGTGATACACAGTTAACATGAAAATTTGTTAGCATAATTCTATTATAATTTTAAAGTTGGATAATATTTTATCTGAACTAAACAAAGGAAATAAAGGCAAGAGTACTGGTTCTGAAACTTTCCAATAGACATAACTGTATCTTCTAATAACTTTCAAAATGGAAATTCTTATCATTTCCTAATTACAATTTAAAAATATTCAAACTGCTGCCAAATCAGAAGAGACATACTTTAAATGAACGTTTAACATAACATCACTGTATGCTATTTTCATTTTGTTAATAAAGAAAATGTAATGAAAGAACAAGTTAAGTCTTTGTGAAAATAGTAAGCATTTTCAAAATTAAGAGAATTCGATTCAGCTTGTAGATGAAATAGTGAAAACTATAATTTTCCAATAAAATATAGTAATATCAAATATTACTAAGAAACGTTTAAGTTTACAAATTATTGGATTGCAATTTGAAAATTGTAGCCCTACAGATTTTCACTGTTGTCCATTTATCTGTCCTTCATTAATCGAGAACAGAGCTAGTTAGATGAAAATCAAGACCAGATATGGAAAGCTTAAGGGCTGGAGGCACTGATTAACTATATATTAACTTCCATTCCAAATCAGAAGTTGTGATTTTTAAAATTAAAATATGATTCAAAATTGCATCCTGTCATTGTGACAATGTTACACTAACTAAATGATTTTGTTATAATTACTTTATTTTGATATTTTAGTTATTTAAATAATTTAACATGGACAGGACTAAGGGTAGAATTCATAAATATCATTTATGCCAGTCACACTGTAAAGTACTATATTATTTTTCCGACTTTCCAACGATTATCGACACTACTGTGTGCCGGAAATAGCCGTTCCCTAACGGGTACTTTACGCGGATTCGCGTTAGTGTGCCAGGCCTGGACTTTAAGCGTGCACCGAATTAAATAATGACAAAGTTTGTCAATAACAAAATCAAATATTTAATTAAACTTCTAGTAATAAACTATATACAGTATTTAGTAAAAATCAAACAATAATTTATTCAATGAAATTCAACAAGAATCAATCCGACAAACTCAAATCAATCTATTTCTAACTTAATTCTATTCCCCTTTGGAATTCGACAAAATCAAAGAATTAACTTATAAACAATAATTCTTATAAATTAAAGATCCTAATCGTCACCTCAATATACTAGGAACCTATTTCCTCAAACTCTCAAGACTTTCTATAATCGTCGATCCACAAATCGAATAACTTCAAAATCCTATCGGACACCTCTCTCGTTCACTGCTACGAAGCTCACCAAAGCTCGTTGCTATCAGGAATTCACCTCGTTCGTTTTCACTTGAGTTAGAGGCTTTATAGTGTGAGGTGACGTCACAATTCTGAATGAGCTCACTCTCCTCATTTACATACTTATCTGTAACATTAAATTTTTCTTGTTTATCTGGCAGATTATTTTCCGACAATACTTCGCTAACCTTTTACATTATTCTTTTTAACAATTATCGGGATGCTTTATTCTTTTAAGGTTTAGCGATTCCTAACTGGGTTGTGGGGTTTCCCCCCCCTTTTTCTCGGTGCGGACTTACTTTTTTCCGCTTGGGAAGCGCAAGTGTGCGCGAGTTTTTCTACGGCGCTTTTCTTTCGTCGGTGAGTTGGTTTTTCTTCTATTTTTAAGTTACTAAGGTGAATGGTGAGGAAACCTTCGTCTTAACTAAACATAAGCCCCAAACAAAATATAATGAAAGCAAAATAAGAGTAAAATAAAAATAAAACTCAGACTTGGTTCCTTACAACATGTCTCATTTCTTACTCAACTGAGGATGAATGAATAGCAAATTTGAGAATGAGTACAGTACTTATCAAGAAACACATTGTATTTTCATCATTAAATTAAGAAGTAAAGGTAGTCACTATCATGGATACTCTCTTGTCATTGTATCTGAATGTGTTTATTTGATTATATTCTGTAAGATTAGTGGAATTTGAAGTGAATTGTGACATCTAAGCAGAGAAAATCTTTTTGTGACAGCTGATGAAAAACATTGTTTTTTGTCATTAGCTCCATTAAATAAAGGTATCATCAATTGCAAGAAAACTTGTACTTGCTTTTCCATAACATTAAAAAAAAATATTCAAAAAAGGATATTTTCATTTATTTTATTATAATATGTCTTAAATAAATATGTTTACAGTTGAATCTTTAATAAATTATGTCAGTTTATTTCAGTTTATTTATGTTTGAAAATATATAGAAGTATGGTACCTAACATATTTATCTCCGCAGATCAATGAAAATCTTACATATAGCTGTTTCTTTTATATTCTTGTGTAACAAAATTAAAATAATAGATTTAGTATTAAAATTTACATTTCAATTTCAATTTAATCTGTACATTTTGCTAGTCTAATATCATTTTGTTAAGATTTATGTTCTTGTTCTTGGAATTTTGAGGGAGAAAAGTTGAATGAGAGTAGGGTGAGGATGAGTGGCTGAGTGATATTTCTGAATTCCTCCTAAGAGTTTTAACTAGTATTGCTGAAGGATGGATGAGGACCTTTCAAGATAGAGGAGAATGTAATGGGATTAGCAAGTTATTTGATTACAAAAGATTTTAACTTATTATGATTTATAAGAAGTATTTGATAATGTATATAAATTTTCTCAGATTTTAAGCATTTGTTAGAAATTTCAATATTAAAATTGAAAATCTTACCTATCAAATAAGGCTACTATAATGTTATGCCTATGAGAACATTGAACTTGTTTGATTGCATAATTCATGTTTGTATCATTTTCTAAATTTGTAGTAGCTCTATCAGATTTACTGTCATTATATTTTTTTATAGTTTTCTCCTTTAAGTTTTGATTCCTATTTCTTTCAACATCAGTTTCATAATTTCTGTTACATAAGCATAAACCATCTTTATATTTCCAAATTCTGAATGTGCCATCCTGTAAATTATAATTAGCATATAATATAAATTATGATTAAAATAAGAATAAAATACAAAGGCATACCCCAGATCCTGAAATTAATAATTCTGGATGAGATGGAAACATTGCTAAACAACTGACAAACCTATAGGATATAATTTATAGAATTATCAGTAATGCATATACTTTAAATCATATTAATAATAATAGTAATAACAACTTTCATGTTATTTTATTAGCAAAACTTGTCATTTAATAATTAAATCAAATATAAATTCCAGTACATAAACTATATATCTAGATGAAGAAATAACAAATTCTGGTAAAAAAAAAAACATTTAGCCTGGATAAAACCTGAATCACATCCTTCAGTAACATGCTGAATATTCAAAAATATATTTTATGGTTAATCTCAATGGGATGATGCATATTTCTCATGGCCAAGTGGGTTTGGCCAAATTTGGACAAGCACAGAAAAGATCCTCTTACCACCCACAATATGGAGCTTTAAAGATCTAAATTAGCTTGATTTCTTTATGATTTTATAATATAAATACATTATCAAGTTTTATAAACATTCATGAAAAAATGTATTTGTTATCTTCTATTTTGTTCTTTTGTTAACTCCTCTTCCTTGCATGACCAAAAAATAAATAAATAATGAAAAAAATTCAATTTTACAGAATTTGTTAAATTTTACACGACTGTCAAAATTTATGGTGCAGTCTTTCTACTAACATGAAAGTTATAAATTATCATCTTTAATATCATATCTGAGAACATTATTTTAATAAATTTTACTTACTATACAAATACATTTTTTAAGTCGAATTTCTCATTAACTAACGAAATAATTTATGTCTAGTTCTTTAATTACTAAAAAACATTTTGTGAATAATTGTTGCAAATAAAGAATCTTTCAAGAAAAAAATTTTAATTTAAATCCGAACACACTGATTTTGTTTTCTAAAATTATTGCATAAAAAATACTTTCTGACTATAAAAACTGAAAGCAACTATAAATATAGGCCCTATATCTACTTCTTGAGAATTATTTTATGTCTTGTAGCAGTTTTATAACTAAAGAATTGCAATAAAGCACCAAAATTTTTACGTTTTTATTTATTTATTCAAAAATATACTTGTCTTTTTTATTAATAAATAAATGGCATAANTATATACATTAAATATATCTTTATTTGAAGGGTATAGATGCAAAAGTCACATTATTCAATTTTTGGCACTATTGAGTTATTCATATCACCGCATTTGTCTTGTAAAGGCGAATAGGATTGTAATAGTGTTGTTATTTACACTCACATTTTTAGGCTGAAAAAATTATTGAAAATCATGTTTTGAAGCATACCTCACATTATCCAACAGCTATTTTGCAGCAAAATTAATACTCTCCAATTCAACCAATCATAGAATCCCTGGCGCACACAAAGCATTATGGAATTGTCTGCTCCAGTTCTGTTGATGTCTACTATAATAATGCTCACAATTTTCTAGCAACTTTGTTTTTAATGTTTTGGTAATCATTTTTATAAGTATTTAGTATTAAACAATTGAAATACAGTGTTCAATGGATGAACTAGTGTAATTAATAAAGATTTTGTGCAGTTTGATTTTTGATGTTTATTATCCTTCCAATAAAATAATGTTAAGATTAACTTTTTTTGGTTTTTGTTTTCAATTATGTTAACTGTTTTGGTTCATAACTTAATCTCCATATGAGTTTAACCAGAATTCACTGCAAAATTCACACTGTCCATATTTTAAAGTTAAATCCTAGTTTTCTCTCCTTTACAAAGAGTTTGAGGCTGTGTGCAAGTGGTTTCTATGCCAACAAAGATATCATTAAAAAAATTGTTATAATATGTGTGTCAACAATAAATAGTTTTTTGCATTTTTCCAAGTCTTAAAAAAGGGAGAGAGTAACTTTTGCATCTACCCCTTTCATTTAAAGTAATTGTGTTGTAAATTACACTATATTAATCCAATTTATAGAATTGAATCACAAGGCATTGGTTAAATACACGTATGCATTATTTAAATTAAAAATAAAGTTCTAATTTTCACTAATTACCCTCCTTATCTTCTTTGCTTTTTAAAAAAGTCAAGTTTCTTTGAAGAAATTACTAAATTCTGCATATTGAATAAAAAATTAAAGAAAAAAATAATTGTAAGATCTCTGTATTGATAAAAGAAAACAGAATGTTTATTAAGAAAACAAAAAATATGACTTCATTAGGACTATTTCTAGCAGCACTTTGGTGCCAGAGCTAGTTAGAGCTTCCATTTTCTTTTTGCTGGAGCCAGAGCCATAGTCTAAAAAATTCTTTGCTCCAGCTCCAAATCTGTTCTTTTTTTGAGAGTTTATAGTGCATAGCTAAAGAAATTAACACCTAAAGTTTTCAGTTTCACATTTTGCAACATTTTTAAAATGTGAATCTAATCAAAAGTTCTCTAACAAATTACAGTTATAACATATTAGCAAGGATATATTCCTGACATATCCTGTTCATTTTTTCAGAATTAAACAAAATTAATTTATATCAACTGTAATCAATACTATAAAATGGACAAATATGGTGCCAAGTTTCATTCTTGAGACTCATTGCTAATTTCATTAATGAATCATACATTCTAATAATCTAGATGGAGGGTGTCCACCTTTTTTGTTTCTCTGGGCCACATTGGGAGAAGTCATGGAGTTTTGGGCCACAAGTATATTATATATATTATATATACTTGTGGCCCAATTCTTAAATATACAAGTATATTTAAGGATTAAAATGTCTAGATTACAGTAATAAGTATTAAAACTTTATCTAAGTAAAAACTGAGTGTCTAAAAGTAATTTTTTTTAAATATTCTTTTTCATGATAAATTCATTTATTATAAACGAGACAAACAAAAATTTATTTGAAAAAAACAAATATTTGTTTTATTTTGATCTCTAATTAATAAAAAATGATAAAACACCATTTTAAAGTGCATTTTTATTCAACTAATATACAATGGTACCTCAGGATACAAAATTAATCTGTTCCGAAACTCAGATCATATTATGAAAATGTCGTAAGGTGAATCATTTTTCCCCATATGATTACATGTAAAACCAAATAATTCGTTCCAACACGAAAAACACACTCAAATTAAAGCATAAATAACCATAATAGAATAATAATTAATAAAAAAATGTAGTTATATTTGCACTTTACCTTTGAGGATAGATGTCAATGGAGGTGTAAACTGGTGGCGAAGGAGAGGGAGAAGGGAAATGATACTAAAACTTAACTTACATAACATAATCTAACAATATCTTAAAAATAATTTAACACTAATTTTTTAACTTTTCTGTTATATATATATTTTAAAATCTTTTATTCACTGCTTTTTGCTGTCTTTCCTTCACTTCCACCAGCACTTTCACTAGATCAGGTTGCTTGGTAAAATATCTATCCAAAAAGGTTTGGCTTTGTCTACTTTTTAAAATGTTTCTAAAATGACTTAGGCAAATGTCATTACTCCGACCAGCAATACGGCCAATGTGAACCTTTTCAGGGTGTTTCTTTTCAATAAAATCAGTCACTTTCTGATAATAACTCGAGATTTCTTTTATCGAGTGAGATCCTTCCACGACGAAGCAACCACGTGGACTGAGACCAATGAACAGAAGTGAATAAAAATGGCTCTGCCTACTAATGTAACGTCGTATGGTGAGTTTTTGTTCGTACTGTGGAGCAAAATTATGTTCAAATTTCACGTCGTATCCTGAAAATTTCGTATGCTGGGGCATTCGTATCCTGAGGTACCACTGTAAAACCAAATAATTTGTTCCAACACAAAAACACACTCAAAGCTTAGTAGTACATTAAAAAAATAACTATAGTAAGGAAAACACTGAAAAATGCATTTTGTAATTGTAAATGTATACCTAACCATAATAGAACAATAATTGATTAAAAAAAATGTAGTTTTATTTGCACTTTACCTTTGAGGATAGATGACAGTGGAAGTATAAACTGGTGGAGGAAGAGAGGGAGAAGGGAAATGATACTAAAACTTAACTTACATAACATAATGTAACAATAACTTAAAAATAAGTTAGAAAAGATTAAAAAAATTAGTGTTGTTTTATATTTTTTGTTTTAATTTTTATTCACTGCTTTTTGTTTTATTTCCTTCACTTTCACCAGCGCTTTCACTGGATAGAGGTTGCTTGGTAAAATATCTATCCAAAGAGGTTTGGCTTTGCCTACTTTTTAAAATGTTTCTAAAATGACTTAGGCAAATGCGATTACTCCGAGCGGCAATACGGCCAGTGTGAACCTTTTCGGGATGTTTCTTTTCAATAAAATCAGTCACTNCAAATGTCATTACTCTGAGCAGCAATACGACCAGTGTGAACCTTTTTGGGATGTTTCTTTTCAATAAAATCAGTCACTTTCTGATAATACTTGAAGATTTCCTTTATCAAGCAAGATCCTTCCACGACAAAGCAAACACGCAGACCAATGAACAGAAGTGAATAAAAAATGGTGCTGCAAACTAATGTAACGTCTTATGGTGAGTTTTTCTTCATATCGTGGAGCAAAAATATGTTCGAATTTCGTGTCGTATCCTGAAAATTTCGTATGCTGGGGCATTCGTATTCTGAGGTACCACTGTATTTATAAATAATATGTAGCGCAAAAAGTAGCCAATGCACCAAATGATATTTTTTATGCCAAATTAAAAAATGGGTAGCCAAATCTTGCAACGCTGGAAGGAATACTAAAGAAAGCTGGAATTGAGACTCAAAGGATTATAGATCCAAATGTGGAGAAAGGAGAGAAAGGACAAAAGATAAGAAGTGAGGAAGGTTGGAAAATTAAGGGCCAATATTTGCATAACAGATGGTCTATTTAACCTTTCTCACTACTTTTTATCTTTTGGCCTTTCTCTCCTTTCCCCGAGTCTAGATCTATAATCCTTTGAGTAACAATTCCAGCTTTATTTAGTTTTCCTTCCTCATTCACACATTTTCAAGTATTTGAAAATATTTCCTTTTCACTCAAAAATAAAATACACAAAGGTTTACAGCTTTGTGAAACTTTTTTTTTCAGTTTATGCTGTTGAAATAAATAAATAAAAAAAAATAAAAAATTTGTCAATTTTGTTTACACATTTATTGGGCTGCATTGGAACTTTTGCCTTGGGCCGCGGGTTGGACACTCCCTGATCTAGACTGTTTTATTATTTTATTCAAATGTACACTAAATATAAATTTCAGGTATTACAATTAGTCATTAATCAAGATTGTGAATTCAAAGGAATAAACTTGATTAACAATACAAATAAACTTACTTTGTATGACCTAAGCAATAAGAATGTATATTATAGCAATTTGGATAACAGGATACTCTGATTTTTTCATCTCTATCACATGTAATAATATACTTATCATCTGGAGAAATCACCTTTTGAGAGAAGAAAAATTATTTTTTACTAGTTGCAAAATAATAAAATTGTTTTAATACAAAATATTTTATTTAAATAATTTACCAGATCCAACAGCATGGAAAGATGGCCAAGGATTAAGTTTCCAGACTGATCAGGATTATTAACAGAAAAAGAATATACATCACCAGATCTATCTGCTACTAAAATTACATCTTCGGAATGTGTAAATTTTAATACCACACACTTCCTAATTACTTTCCTATAAATTAAACAAAATGAAAATATAATAATTTTCAATAAGATATTTTAATAAGGAAAAACAAAATACACAATAGTCTAATGTTGTGATAAATGCAGGGTGTGACAGTGGAGTAAAGTGAAAAAGCAACTGCTTCATTTGAACACAGAGTTTAATCTAACAAGCTGTATATACTACACATACCAAAATGAAGGGGGATGAGGTGTGAATTACAAGAATGTAGTTATATAAACTAAAGTCTAGACATCATCTGGAATGTCCCTAGGAGAGTGTGATGATACTCACCAACATTAATCTAATAATTACTAAAGATATGCAAATTAAGAAATATGGTAATGTCTTTATGATGATAGCAATAATGATTACATTAATGACTTTAATGATGTCAGTTTTCCAAGATCAAATCTATCAATAATTTTTTAATCATCAAAAAGAGATGGCTGGATGGCTGAGATGGTTAAGATGTCAGCCTATTGCTCTGGGCACCTAGGATTGAATTCAAAGGCTCCACCAAGTTGCTCCAGGAATTTTTCACAGGCAATTTGTCTCTCATCACTAATACAGTTGTCCCTTGATAATCCGACAGGTATGGGACCAAAGGTGTGTCAGATTACCAAAAGTGTCCAGATTACCGAAAATAATTACATATTTCGCATTGTTTTGCTAGCAGTAACTTACAATATTCTCTACTCCAACTGTTCGAACAGAACTGCTCACATAAAACACACGAAATGTGTGTCATCGAGTAAGAATTGGATGGGGAGATTCACATCGCGACATGCTTCTGTGCAAGCAGACACATAACGGGGACGGGTACTTTGACGGGAGGTGCATCGGACTACTGAGCATGTCGGATTAAAAAACGTCGGACTATAGAGGGACAACTGTATTTATTTCTATGAGGTCATTTATTAAATGAGTTTTTATGAATTGGAATTTCTCTTGTTGTTCATTAGGTGACAACTTTTGTCAAATTTTAAATCAGTGATGTATTTTAGCTCATCTTAAGAGCAAACTTAATTTAGTGACTATTTATCAATTTAAAATTATTCCTTTGTTATTGGGATCACCGGCTGTGAAATATATTCCATGTTATGTTCAAGTAATTTCATATTTAAGGAGACAGTTGATTCAATACAAAGTAAGATATTACTATTATGTTCATTATTATTATTATGCTGGGTTTAGTGGTTGACACCGGTGGCTGTGTACTATGCCAGACCAGAGTCAAGGCATAGCAACCAAAACAAAACTAAAATTAAATAAGTATGTCAGTGTCAGTATTCAAGAATTTCCTAATAATATGGCATGTATTCAAAATAGTGGCCTTCTGTAGTGTGATGTATGTGTTTCTATTCAATTTTAATGTTTCCAGGCTTTTGTGTAGCGTGTGGTATGACACCTGTACAAGAGAGAACGACAGGTACAATAAGCACCCTATCCATCCTTCATAGATGCCTTATTTCCCGAGCGAGTTCTGTGTACTTGCTGATTTTTTCACTGCATGTGTTTTGTACGTTCTGAGTGTTTGGAATGGCTATGTCTATAATGTATATGATTTTATTGTGTTTGTCAATGAGTGTGATGTCTGGTCTGTTTTGATAAATTGTTTTATCTGTGATTATGGCTATTGTAGTAAATTTTGTGCATGTTGTTTTCCAATACTGTTTGTTGAACGTATTTGTAGTATGGTTTGTGGATGTCTAATAATTTGTGTTTCTTTGCAAGCTCTTGATGTATTTGCTACTTAATTATGTTTATGTAAATTATCTGTCTGTGCCAAGCACTTGCATTCAGAAGTGATGTATTGTATGGTTTCTGGCATGATGTGACATTTTCTGATGTGTTGTCTGCGATTGTTATATCTTTGAGTATGTGTTTTCTATAGTTTTTAGTATTTATGACCTGATCCTGTATGGCAACCATAAATCCTTCCATCTCCTCAAAAAGGTATCCCCGATCTAGCCAGCTGTTTGACGCAGTTTTGTCAACAAAATCCTGGGCCAGGTCATAAGGATGCCTGCCATGGAGTGCCTTTCGAGCCCACGATTGCTTAATGGTGTCTATGCTTTTTGTGTGTTGTGTCATGTCTGTATGATATGAGTGTAAGTTTAATGGTGTGTTATTTGAGTCTGCTAGAGTTACTGCTTTATGTAATTGTGATGTTTCTTGTTTCCTGTAGAAAAACTCTCGCAGTGACTGTATTTGTTTGTAGTGAAGGTTAACTATGTAAATCAGGCCATGTCCGCCATCTTTATGTGGAAGGGAAGGGTTAATCTTTCTGTGGCGGATTTAGGGTGATGTTGTTTATGCTTAGTAAGCATTATTCTTGTTTTCCTTTGGAGTTGCTCAAGATCTGTGTGAGTCCAATGTATAACTCCATAAGAATATGTGAGTACTGGGATGACATGTGTTTATTGCTTTAACTGTGTGTTTTGCATTTAACTGTGTTCTGAGAATAGCATTTAACCTACTTTGGTATTCTTTAATTAATCTTTGCTTTATTTGTGTATGTTCTGTTAGTCTGGCCTGTTGGAATCCTAAATACTTGTAGAACTCGCCCTCTTCCATGGATTCAATAATGTCCCCATTTCCAAGTGCAAAATCTTCTTTCTTCAGGATTCCTTTTTCTATGTGAAGTGTTTTGCATTTGTCTAAGCCAAACTCCATTTGTATGTCCTTGGTGTATGAATGCATGATTTGTAGGAGTTGATGAAGTTGTTTTTGTGTGGATGCATAAAGTTTTATGTCGTCCATGTACATGAGATATGACAGTATAAACTGTGTTGTTTTATCATGTCCGATATTGTAGCCATATTGCGTGTTGTTTAACACGTTGGATAATTGTTGGGTTCAGAGCTAGGCAGAACCAAAGAGGACTCAAGGAATCTCCTTGAAAAATTCCTTGAATAATGAATATTTGGTTTGTTTGTATGGAAGTGTTACTAACTCTGAAATGTAGTGTTGTTCTCCAGTGCTGCATAGTGTTTTGGAAGAATGCAATGAGTGATGGATGTATTTTGTACATGTCTAGAATATGTAGCACCAACTGTATGGAACACTGTCAAATGCTTTTCTGTAGTCTATATATGCCATGTGTATGTTTCTGTGTTGCTTGTGTGCTTGCCATAGAATGACTGAATATATGAGTAACTGTTCTTTGCATCCCTGTGATTTCTACGGCAACCTTTTTGTTGTTCTGTAAGAATGTCATGTTCTTCAACATGTTTGTATATTTTGTTTGCGATACATGCTGTCAATAATTTGTAGAGTGTTGGGAGACATGTAATTGGTCTGTATTGTGTGGGGTCTGTGGTGTTGTTGTTTTTAGGTTTCATGTAGTTGATGCCCTGAGTAAGAAATTTTGGCATGTCTTGTGAATTGATGATGTGTGTCAGATGTTTGGCTAGTTCCTGATGCAGTGATGTAAATTTTTTTGTACCAGAAATTATGAATGTTGTCTACACCAGGTGTCTTCCAGTTGTGTGTTCTGTTAACAGCGTAGTGGATGTCATGTACATTTATATACAGGGCATAGTTGGTGTGTTGTGCAAGTTTCTGTTCTCCTCCTCAATCCAGCCTGCATCAGCATTGTGTGTAACAGCATTGGACCAAAGAGAAGACCAATAAGTTGTGAGTTTGTCTTCTGTTGGTGTGCCACTGTGCTGAGTATCAGTGTTTGTTTAGGCACTAATTTGTCTGTAACAGTTTTTTTTCGTTGTTTGTAAATAACTTATTTTGTTTTTTTTTGTAGTGTACATGTTTTGTATTGTTTGAGTCTATGTGCTTTGGCTGCGAGTTTTTGTTTTAGTGTATCGATGTATTCTGTAATGTGTGTGTTGTGATGTTCATGTTTTGTGTGTGTTGTGATGTTCATGTTTTGTGTGTGTTTTGATTTTCTTGATAATGTTTTTGAGTTGTTTCTTTAAATTGGGTGTTATGTTGTTTTTAGTGTATTGTGTCAGCCTGCCTAATTGCTGTCTAATGTCACTTATTTGTGTTTCTATTCTTCTCTGCCAGGCGGGCTTGTGATAGAATTGTGTTTTGTGTGTGTTTGTCTGCAATTGTATTTTCAGTCCATGGTGTGTTACTACTGTGACTGCCCTAGCATAAACTAATGTATGAATGTCTGAGAGTGTAGAAATTGAATGAATGTAGTTTGGTAGTAAGTGAGTGTTTACGTTATTTAGTGTTTTTCCTACTACCTTTGACATGTTGATTTTCGGTATTCGTGGTCTTTGTGTGTGATCTGTGCTTGTATATTTAGTGAGTGTTTCCTGAAATATAAGTGAGAGTGTATTAACTAATTCTATGTCTATGTTATCAGTGATGGATGAGGAAGTGCCTGTAGTATCATTAGTGGTAGTTGTTGTATGTATGCTATTATCAATGCTTGTTGCTGGATTATCCTGACAGGTTACATGATCTTCATTAATAATGTTAAATGTTTCTGTCTGTTGATGTATTTGATCAGGAACCCATTGTTTGATAAGTTCAAGTGTTGTTTGTGGGATAAGGTTGTTGTGTATAATTGTTCTTTTTTGATTAACAACCCTTTGTTTGGTGACAGTGAGGTGAGGATATTGTTGTGTGAATCTATGGTGTAGTTGTTGTCTGTACGCTGTCATGTTTGTTTCGAGTTTTGTGATTGCATAGTAAGTACGGATGATAAACTCATTCATTTTGTTGTCCATTTCATCCGTTGGCATGGTTTTCCAGCCTTTGTGGTCTGTGGATACATTGCCACAGAAACACCAAGGCTAGGTTGATTCCTCACATCTGTTGAGGGCATTGCAGTAGCCATGCTTGGGCCGGCGCGCTTTCGCCACCGGTAACCAAGGGAGACTGTGGCCTATTTTTCAAACGTGAGCCTCTGCCTAACCCACGAACACGGACCTTGTTAACCCGGGCGACGTCTGAGCCGGCATCACACTTTGATCTGGTTACTACCATAATAATTATCTCTACAGAATGTGGGTGTGGTCACTCTTAGCTTCATTTCTCCCCATAGACCTTACTGGCATGGGTGTCCCTACCAGGAGCTTGTGCTCCAGCCTGCATTGCTCTATGGTTCAGTAAAATTATTGGGCTCTCCCGCACAACCAGGTGGTGACCAAGGGAGAGTTATTATTATTACTTTTTATTTTTAATTAATTTTGTTACTTACAACTAGATCTTAATCATTTTAGTTACTGATGAGGGGCCATAAAATGTAAGTTGGCCTGAAATTCATCTATTAATGTTAATTAATAATCTTTCTACCCTGTAAACACTAAGAAGGACTTATGATCTTATTTCGTCCACTAGTACGTATCTATTAACAGTACTTATTAAACTGGCTTTAAGGATACTGTTAAGGATGTTGTTTTATTTAATTTACCTGTACAGGTAAATTAAATAAAACAATTTTCTAATCTGTGAAACTGAGTTGCAGTATCCTTAAAGCCAATTTAATAAGTCCTGTTAATAGATACGTACTAGTGGACGAAATAAGATTATAATAAATTAAGGACATTGAGGCATATTAATTTAACTAAGAAGGGCTTTTTTCCACTCCCATTGTGTGTTCATCCTGGTTCACCATAGAGACATGATGACAGATGGGGCCCAGCACATCCAGGACAGACCACACCCAAAAAATTCCTGAAGAGTTGCTCACCCAGTTTTGATCCTGAGTCCCCAGAGCAATAAACTGATGCCTTAACCATTCTGCCCATCTGACTGTTGGAATAATGTTATTTTATTTGTAATCTTTGTCAAAAAGATTGGTTTTGTTAAATCAAAAACATTTCTGATTTTTATATATTTCAATACTTAATAGTGTAATTATATCTATATATTTAAAATGATTAGTAAAGATCAGACAATACCTTATACTGAGTAGTAAGAATTCATTAAGATTATTTTTCCACAAATAAAGTTGTTTAGTTTCATCAATCACAGCAAAATAATTATTTTGTGGAGAAAAACCACCACACACAACTTTTTGTTCATTTTCATTTAATCTATTTAAAATAAAAGTTTAATTAGAATTTTTCAATTGTTATGTACAAGGTCTGTTCAAAAAGTATCGGACCTTTGGTCGGCAAAAATAAATTTATTGACTTTGAGGTACAAAACCCTAATCCCCTTCAAAGTTGTCTCCTTGGTAATGTATACACTTCTCCCAGCGTTCCTGCCATTGCTGGAAACACTGCTGGAACGCATCTTTTGGAATGGCCATCAGCCGGTCCGTCGCATTTCGCATGATGTCTTCTCTCGACTAAATTTGGGTTCCTTTTAGCGGCATTTTCAGCTTGAGAAATAGCCAAAGGTCACACGGAGCCATGTGGAGAGAGTACGGAGCGTGACGAACCACAGGAGTATTGTGTTTGGCGACGAAAGCCCGAATCAGATGCGCAGAATGGGCGGATGCGTTATCACGATGGAGCTGCCAAGTTTTGATCGACCACAGATCCGGTCGTTTGCGTCGCACTGTATCGGAAAGACGACGAAGGACCTCCTGGTAGTACTCCTTTGCGATGGTTTGGCCTTGTGGTGCGTACTCACGACACACCACCCCACGAGAGTCGAAAAAACTGTCAACATGACCTTTGATATTGCTGCGGACCTGCCGCGCTTTTTTTGGCCTCGAGGATCGTCCCCGAAAGCCTGCTGAATCTTGCGAATGGTTTACGCTTGGGTATCGCCAAGGTTTTTGGCAAAATTTGATGTAATATCGCTGCTCACGTTGTTCAGTCATTTTCCAGCTTAGTGGAATCCGACGAGAGCGCACTACATGACCTCACTCATAGGCCGATTGCCAACGACTGACGCTTCCTGCAGGCAGGAAAAAATTCAGGGCTGTGCATGACTGTCCCCTCCACAACTCCACCGAAGGAGGCCTCTCGCGCATCATTGGTTTACGCGGAAAAAAAAAAGGTCCGATACTTTTTGAACAGACCTTGTAAATATAATTTAATTTTAAACTTTATTTTTTACATTAAAAACTATAATTATAAAAAAATTTTTAAATATGAAATAATAAAACACACAAAACAACTTCTAATAACTTAACACTGTGTTGAGTAATAACAATCCACGAAACCTTTTTATAACAATGTTGTCTCCGTAACAAACTTCACGAACGTTTTTGACCTCCACTGAGGTCTGCTTCAGGTGGTGACTAAATGGTGTCTCCCCTTGACTGTTGGAATGATGACGCCTGAGATGTAAACAATTGCGCATATTGCGTTTCACCCCTCAGCTAGTCCTAGTTCGAATTCTTCGAACAAGTACTTCCATGCCTGCGCGATCGTTTCTCTGTCTTTAAAGTTGATGCAGGTGTCCCCAAGGTTGGCTTTATAAATCTTCTAGGCCTCCAGCTGACGGATGTGATCAATATGAAACGCCTGTCTGATTACTCTGGTGTTTCGGAAGTCTGCCCGGATTTCAGGGTCGGTAACATAGGCCGATAAGGCAGTGGTGTGCCTGTTATTTTTAATATCCGATTGTTATGGAGACAACACTGTTATAAAAAGGTTTCATGGATTGTTAATAAAACACATTATTATTATTATTTAATTAAACATATTCATATTAAAGTTAATAAATAAATGACTGTTTATAAGTATGGTCAAATCTCAATATAGCACCTTCCTACACAGAGCCACTATTATACAATTCTAATTAATGCCCACTAACAGATCTTCTGCATAACTATTAAATAATATTACCTTCATTATCTCTGAAGTATCAAATGTAGGATTTTGCAAATCATTTAACTTTCAAACTCTTAAACCTCAAACTTGTGTGCATGGTACTGTACATCCCATTACAGGTATACCTCGCCTTATGTCGGTAATTGGTTCCAGGAGAGGCGACTTAAGTCGAATTTACTTGTCACTAGGCTAAACCATAAATTACTATTCCCAGTTCTGTATTTTATTTATTAATGCATTTCTAATAATATATGGTTAATAAGGATCTATTTTAAGCTTACAAACAAATAAATTTTAGTTTTTAATATAGTACAGAAAAAAGTAATCTAAATTTACAAATACATGTACTGTAAATACAGTACATACTTGTAAATGTATTTATTTTAATATGATTTTATGTGCTTTAAATGCTTTTCTAGTGATATTACGACTTCAATATTTGTGGCGGACAGACATAAAGTCAAATAAAATGACTTAAACTTGATTTTTATTTTTCCATATACTTTTTTGACAAACGACATATAACTGGGAACGACGTAACTCAAAACGACGCAAGTTGAGGTATACCTGTAATTTGTTTGAAATTCTTCAGTTTATCAACTCACTCAATTTAGTGCTAATTTCAGAGACAAAGAAATGGTGATGCTATATCAAGGTTTGGCTGTGCTCAACTAATTATAATGAAAGTAAATTGAAAAATCTATTTCAGGAATATTTTGGAAAATATAGTAAAGCAATATGAGAATTTCAACTGTGAGGCAAATCCTGCAAATTTATTTTTCTTATTATTATTAATAAATTTATGATGATGATTTTATTTATTTTACTTTCTACTAACTCAATTTTAAAATGACATTTTTTATATTGGAAAAACATGGTATCATTTCCATATTTAATTCAGCAAAAGAAAAAATGCTCTGCCAAATAACTTCTTGTTGCTAAACAATTCTCAGTGCGTTAAAGTTGATAGTAACACTATCAACTTTAACGCACTGAGAAATATCATCTCACATTAAAATTTTGAAGTTAAGATGGTTCAATCTTTACCTTCAGATGCTCTTAGGATTGCAAATTTGAACAGAATATTTTTCGAAATAAACTCGTTTTAAATATAAAACAACACAAAATCAATGTAGAACAATTGCCATTATCAAAACTTAAGCATACAGACACCAAAAATAGTTAGGAATCATTTAAAATCTAATTTTTTCAATACTTTAACAGATCATCTTCAGTTTATGTCAAAAACGAACTACAGTGGTGCCTCGTATAACATACACCTCGAATAACGGACGCTGTGAACAATGGACATTCTGTTTGGCCGTTACATGACTCAAGCAATGGACTGGCTGCGGACAACAGACTTTCCATTCGGCAGTTACGTGAGGCGAACAATAAATTTTCTGCGAACAAGTGCAAATGATGTTTCCACCCTTTTGCCATTGCCAATGACAATCTGTTATTTTTACAATATATTAGTATTATTAGAATATATTATTAGTATATCTGAAGTACAGAGCTCCCATTGGGATTTGGCTTGCTCCCTTGTTTATTACATACATCACCTCAGTGCAGGGTATTTACATTTATTCAAGTGTTGTGCAAATCATAGCTTCTAAAACAACAGAAAGATGATTTCAATTGAAACAAAGCAAGAAATCATCAGGAGGAGTGAAAGTTGACAAAAACTTCCTTGTCAAATGGGGAGAGGTTCAGGAGTTTACCAACACTCAATATCAAAACAGAGCTGAGGCCAACAGGATCAATGATCTCTACAATGACACTCTTGCCCGTCATTTCTGACAGGTGTTGAAGAAGAGAGAGAAACAGACCATCTTGGACATGTTTTTCAAGAAGCCAGCTGCCAAAAAAAACAAAGGATGAAACAAGAGGAGTTGACCCTGTAAGCTCCGGTAGCCTCTCCTGAATCTGACTCCAATTAAAAAACAATAAAAAGAGACCTGCTGCAATGTGTAAAAAATCTGTATCTGTATGAATGTGTGAAGAAAGTGTTCCTCCACCTCCTCCTCACAACATCTGACTACCTGGCATATTTGGGGACTGCTCCATTTTCATTTTTTTTTAATGATACAGTATGGTTATTTTATACTGCAGAACGAATTATATATTTTAACATGTGTTTCTATGGGAAAATGCATTTCGTATAATGGACTTTTCACTTAACGGACATGCACTTGGAACAGATTAAGTGCGTTATATGAGGCACCACTGTAATTGATTTAAACAAGAACACTCAGAACATATGAAATACAGTAGATCCCCCTATAACACTGTAGATAATTTCATGTTATATGAATTCCATGTTGTATGAGTTACTTAGATTTTACAAATACGTGAGCCATTCATAGCCTGACACACATATTTGTAAAATCTAAGTGACTCGTACAATATGGAATTCATATAACATGGAATTATCTACAGTATTATAGGGGGTCTACTGTAATAAAAAAAAAAAAAATCAAACAAACATTGAAAATTAGATAAGATAACTAAACGATTGTAGAAATTAATTTAAGACAGGTCAATTAAGGTCTAATAGTTAAGAAACTATGCATGACATTAATTAAATCATTTTGGTCTAAGTTTTTTTTTAATGTAGAATTTTTATAACATAACTAGAGTTCGTAACTGTTCACCTCTTGCATTTGTCTAATTTTTCACCAATACTTCCAAAAGCATTATTTAATTTTATATTTTATTTTAATAGTTTAATGAAAGAATGGCAGTGTTTCATACACAATTACTACATTTCATTGAATCATTTGTTGAAGATGTGATTCTAAACGAGGAATAAACAGAAACAATATGAAAACAAATATAATTTATTATTTCATAGAATCTAAGCTTATATATGTAACTCGTTTATATATTTTATTTGTACCTAAAGAAATAACAAGTTTTTGAAACAGCTTCCTAGGGAAAGGAATCGTATTTTTTTTTTTNGGAGTTTAACAGATTTTTTTGAAAAATATAATAGCTTTTTTAACATACATTAAATGATTTCTTTCCAAATGTCTTTATGAGCTTGAAACCTGCAAAAATTTTGCAAAATTATTGATGTCTTAAGTGGAAATCCAAATTCTCAAAATTCTATAAAATATTTCCTTTTCTTACAGCTGTTCTTTTTTGTAAAATTTGCTTTTTTCATATATTAAAATGACACTGTTAATAAACTATACAAATCCAATTATCCGTCTTTTCATTGATTGTGAATTTTCTTCAATCAAGTGTTGTCTATATTTTTAAAGACTTTTTTGAGAAATTAGTGACCCCACTTGGAATTGCAACCATATTTTTGAGAATTGTTGTTCTATATTATACTGTGTTAGTATAAGGAGTGCAAAACAAATGTGATAAAATAAAATAAACTGTTAAATAAGATATAAGAGTATAATTTCTGTATGCCTTGCAATAGAGATTCTCATTAAAATTGTTGGTGCTCTTCTGTTTTGTTGTTATCTTGTTATCCATGTGTGATGCGATGCAAGGACAAATGGTGTGTGTACAATGCTTTTAGACCAGACTTGAATTTCCTCCAACAAATTTAGATGCAGATGGTCCTTTGAATGAAGTAAGTAAATAATTTTTTTTATTATAAATTTAAAAAAAAGTTTTGAAAATTGAAATAAAATAAACACTACAAATACATATTTTAATTATTTTTCAAAAAATGTTGCATTTAAAAATTGCTGGAAATTGGTCCTTATCATTTTCATTTCACAGAATTTAGTTTCATAAATAAAATCAATCTCATGTGAATGAAAAGACCATTACAGGAGCAAAGGTTTTTAAACTCTGCTCCAGTATGGACTGTTGGTAAAAGGGGTTTCCTTTTGGGGATTTAATGAAAAAAAAAGGGCTTGGAATTTTTGCAGGGAATATTTTAATAAAATAAAACAAACAAACTAAAACATAAATTTGGGTAAAATAAATATTTAGATAAATGACTAGAAATGGATAACAAAACAGATTTATTAATATCTGTTTTGTTATATCATCTATTTATGTGATACACAGTAAAGTATCAGGAAATCGCTGGGTATATCACCCGTACAAACCAAGTTAATGGAAAGCAAAATTGACTCTATAGAGTTTCCTTTGTTAATCTATATTCTGATGCACTTTTTGAGCAACCATAAGAAACAGCATCTTTGTAGTTACCTAACAATCATCTCCATTTTGGATAAATAAAATATGTTAAGCTGACAACTAAGCCATTAATGTCTTGCAGGTTAGTGAAACAAACTATCTTCAACAAACAAACAACAATAACTATGGTATGAGGTCAACAAATTAAGCTTTATCAAAAGTAAACACAGACTTCTTTATAAGAAACTGCCTTTGCCATAAAAAAACCAATTTGAACTTTCCAAAGTCTAGTTTATAGTAAATGTTGAAAAATTTCTATAATAATTTAAAAAAGAAAAAAAAAATGTAAAATACTTTCACTGTTCAAAATTCATTATCACTATTTTAGTTGCTTCCTTTCCTCACTGTACTTATTGTTGAAGGGAAAAGGAACAATTTGCATAATATTCCAAATTAATGCAACACGGTGTTTATTAGCCAAACTATTTGTGCTTTTGAAAAATCTCAAACATTAAAAGAAGTCAAGAAAATCACAGAAAGAATACTAACATGTTAAATGAATACTCAAACGAAAAATCCAGCAACAAGCTCTTAAATTTCTTGGCTGTTATGATATTTTATTTTAAAAATAACTTTTATATTCTGTATCTGGACTGCTGTATGTTTATGTATATAATTCGGCTCTGTAATCCAAAAGGTTTTTAGTAGACGGACTCACAGCAAAACTTTTAGTTAGGAACTCACTTTTATTCCTTAAAAAATGACATATGCATTTCGGGTTGGTATACTCATCCAACCCCTCTTCAGTGCTAAGTTTTCAAAAAATAATAAAAATGCTGTGAGTCCGTCTACCAAAAACCTTTTGGATTACAGAGACGAATTATATACATAAACTTTTATATTATTAATCGTAAATAAAATTGTGTGTTACACCATCTGTTAAAAGATTTTGTTATAAAAACTTTTTATATTTCTAATTACTATAAAATGGTAAAAAGCTTAATTTTGAGGGTAGGGATGAGTTTAAAAAAAATAATTGTAAATGCTAATAATGAGTAAAATCTTCATTAAGTCTGACCTCTGTTGAGATATGACACATGATACTGCTTTATCTCTCTATCCCCTCGACATTTAACCACTAAAATCTAATAGCATCAATGCCTCTTATACACAAACTACTATACCAAATCTCATTTCTTAATCTTTACCCCATCCTGGGATATTAAACAAAATTGACACACAAACACACATGGAATTTTTTCCCCATTTTGTTTTTCAATATTTAGGGTCAGAGGTCTTAAAACATGGGAGATTTGCAAAAAATTCAGGTCAAATCTAACACAATTCCAATACTTTCCCTTGTTATGTACACATAACATCTAGGAAAGTAAAAACAAAACAATTTATTTTGTAAATTGCAGTTATATGAAATTAAGAAAAAAGCATGGAAACAAGTTTATAAACACAAAGTGATTCCCTCTGCAGTATCACTGTAACAAAAGAATGTGATTTTGTAAGATAATAAAAAGTCAAAATTGAAGGTTAACAATAAGCAGTTTATTAGTCATAAGGTAAATTATACCAAGAGAGAATCAAACACTTTGTATTAGATTGTTCAATAGTCATTGTGTCATGTTACATGATGAGTTACCGATCATGACTCTTGTGTACAAGAGTCACAAGCAGTGTCGCATTGTTCACAGATACAGTAGAACCTCGAAAACTCGGCCTAATGTGGACCGAAGGGTGGCCGAGTTTGTGAAAATGCCGGATTATCGGGAATGGGGTTAAAAAAAAATAAGTACGAGTGTTTCCTCAGAAAATACTGTACTGTACTTGTATGTATTGTTTACTTGAGAATATAACAGAGAATAAACTGCCCAAATACCCTTAAACAAAGGAAAAGTACGTCCTTTCTGAAGGCATAGAGCCTTTACTACATGAAAATGAAAATTAATGAATACACTGTGTACAGTAATTTACCTGATAAGACAGACCTCAGAAAAATACTTTATGAGAGCTTTTATACTTTTATAAAGCTGTCTATAATGAAAATTAGTTAACTAAGGATTTTTTTGCCCTCCCAGGGTGTGGCCGAGTTATCCGGAGTGCCGAGTTATCGAGAGCCGAGTTTTCGAGGTTCTACTGTAACAAAACAGAAGAGTACCAAATTGTCAAAACTACCACATTTCAATTAAAATTTTGGCTGTCAGCTGTTTTTGGCCACACTAGTAAGCCAATTTTAAAATTTTTTCAAAATTATTTGTTGAAAGCTCTGATAACATATGAAATATAAATATACAAATAAACATTTAGTAAAAACAAAAAAAAAAGGCATTGAATATACAGTAGACCCCCTATAACACTGTTGATAATTCCGTTTTATGTGAATTCCATGTTGTACGAGTCACTTAGATTTTACAAATACGTGTCCCGGGCTGTAAATGGCTCACGTATTTGTAAAATCTAAGTGACTCGTGCAACATGGAATTCATATAAAATGGAATTATCAACAGTGTTATAAGGGGGTCGACTATATAATTTAATCATCATTAAAAAAAAAAATATTAGTGCTGAACTAGTAAATCTTATTTGAAAGATATTGAGTAAAAATTCTACTTAAAAACAAAATTTAAAACATTTATATATATTGAAAGCATTCTATTTTTTATACTTTAATTTACAAAAATATATAATAATAATTCTTACTCATTTGCAGACTTTGATTCACTTTCTTTTTCTATATTTTTATCTGTCTTGTTACTTAAAGTTGATAATTTCAGAACAGTTGAAGTTTCACTGCATAAAATTTTAACATGAAAGTTTTTTATAGTTACTTTTTCACATAATAAAAGGCACATGCAGTTCCGAATGAGGTGGTTAGGACCTTAACGGTGCTATATACCCACGTTTCTCAATCGGCAGTCCGCAGACTCCTAGGAGTCTGCAGTCCATCACGGCGTGGAGTTTTATTAAGAGTTTGCAACACAAGAAACGTTGACAACCGTTACTGTAGGCCAGTGTTTCTCAACCTCTAATGAATCATCGCCCCCTTCAATAAAACCGTAATATAATATAGCCCCCTTCACTTCAAAATTCCGATGCTGAGGGCCAAGGCTAACGCCAAATTCTTACTGCATTGAATAGACTAGTGACTAGTATACTGTTATTTGTTTAATTATTGTACGATATAACGAATAAAATATTTAATTATTCTTAATATAATGTTTTACTATATCGCCCAGAAAATTGTTTTTCGCCCACAAAATATAAATTGTTACTAATCACCCCCTCAACATGGAAAAACGCCCACATGGGGGCAATATCGCCCCCGGTGAGAAACACTGCTGTAGGCCATAGCCATAAGAGTAAAGAAATCGATATTCAACCCCTCATTTAGAACTGCAATTTTACCTAATAAAATATAATACAGTCATAATTTTAAATAAGATTTAAATGATTAAAATTAAATATTTACCTTGTTATCTCAGGAAAAATGAGTAATTTGTCATTACTAGAGAAAATGACATTTTTGGAATTTTTATAAAATGAACACATTTTTAAACAAATTTCATAATAATTTCGATCAATTTAAACGTCACGAGATTTATATTTCTGTTAACATATAAAACAATGTTAGAGCAAAATTGGTTCACATTTCCACATAAAACTGTTCAAAAAATAAACTTCCACGTGCATACGTGATGATATCTACCAGTGAAATTGAAATGATAAACAAAACGGATTAAAAATCATTTAATCATTTATCATTCCCTAAAAATAAAAAAAAATTATATTAATTAAATAAAAATTTTTATACCTTATTAAAAAACAAAATAATAAGTACCGAACTGTAAATTTTCTTATTAAATATCAATTCTTATCGTTCTTATTCGTTTTTCCGTATCGCGTATTCTGTCTATTCGAACCTATTGAGAAAATGGCTGCCTTTAAGAACACGTGTCTTGTTTACGAAGGTTCAAACTTCTTTCGACAGCGTTTAATACTATCCACACTTAGTATGAGACCTGTGAAAATTAAAAATATACGCTTTAAAGATGAAGAACCCGGTGTTAGAGGTGAGATAATATTAATGATAATAATAGTCATTTCCTTATTCAAGTTGCTCAAAAAGACACGTTGAATGCTGCAGTTTATCCAAGTTATTACAAAAAATGAATTAGAAAGAGATTAATTCTTATTATAAAGATCATTATGATCATTATTCACAAAGATATAAGTTAGATTTTAATTTGCTAGAAGTTTTCGTGATGGTCTTTAAAGAAATTAGAGATTTAAGAAAAAGTGAAAAAAGTGATATCCATTTCTGAATTGTCTTGATTTAAAAAATTGGTTAAATTCTACCTAGGTAGTCCCAATGGCGGCGCTTCGGTTAGGTTAGGTTAGGTTAGATTAACTACATTTTTAGTAGATGTGTCCTTTTTTTTCTTTTGTTCAAGAACTACTGTGAATCAATGACTAGTAACATAAAACAATTGGCATCCTGCTGGTGGCTCCCCTCCAGGAGGAGTCCGTCAGGAGCACAAACAGTCGGAAGCGCAGCCATTGGGACTACCTAGGTAGACTTTGACCGCAGCTTTGTGTGACCATAACTGCATTCTATTCGTTATATGACTAACACCTTTATTCCAATCTTCACTCAATGAGGCTGGATAAGTCCAAATATAGGAACAGAGATGTACAAATGTATTAGGTTGACCTGGGTACAGAGGGTAAAAATTTTGCCAATGCCCCTCATATACAAATTACCATGCCAAATTTCAATACTTAATCTTTACCCCATTCTGAGATATTAAGCAAAATAGATGCCTATACACACACACACACACACATCCAAGGAATTTTTTTGACTTTTGGATTCAAGAGGTCTCAAAACTTGGAGGGTCAAATTTGACACAATTCCTGTACTTTCCTTTGTTATGTATATTTAACAGCTAGGAAAGTAAAAGGGAAAGATCAGAATTAGAGTTGCACATTTCAAATTTGCCAGAGTCAGACTATTTGTTTACGACTCCACCATACTGATTCCAACATGTTAGCTTCTGGCCACGTATAGCATATGTTGCCGTGTCTGTTAAGTGTTGTTTCTGTTGGCACAGTCTTTTTCACAGATGGAGCTCATGAATCACTCTGTTGAAGCTAGAATGACATCTGTCAATGGAAATTATTGATCTTGTAAAAGCTTCTTTAGTTTCTAGAACAAGTCCAAATCATGTAGACATGTTAAGTGAATTGTACAAATGTTCAAGGATCTCCTAATCTCATTTCACTAGCAGTGATGTTACAATTCTAGCAATGTGGCAATGAGTATTGTTGTTATGAAATCAGTTGTTGATGCACAAATGCAGATTGTAAGTGGTGTTCAAGGAATTGCTGGTATGAGGTTGATTTCCATTGGTAAATATTCTAATTGCAATATAGTGATCCATACACTCTTCCATGAAAATAGCTTTGACATTTAGCAATGAGTGCTGTACTGTACATGGCTGAAGACTGCATAGAGGGCTTGTAAAAACTTTGCTAAGTACAACCCTGTTGAAATTTTTTTATTCTCAACACCTTGTCTGGTACGTTCTGTGAAAAATAAAGTTTATCACTGTTTTTGAACTGATATATAGTTCTTCTTCAGATGAAATGTACAGATTAACTAATGGAACACAATTAGAATGTGAATATTCAAATTAAATTGAATGTATGCTTGATGAAAGTTATTACAAAGAACATGCACATTTCTTGCATAGATAATGACCATTAAACATTAGTGATAAACTTTACTTTTCACAGAACGCACTGGTAACAGTACCAGACAAGGTGTTGATGTGTTGTGGATGTTGACATTTTTTTATTCATTGATGATCAATAACAGACCTCGTGTATGTAGTATATAATTAATTTATATAATTTTTCTATTTATATTTGAAACTTTTTAGTGCAAGTTTGTGCTTTTTTTTTTATTGGTGTGGAATGAATACAAATATAAACATGTACAAACCCAAATTTTAGATTAAAGCCAGATTGCACCAGGCTATATTAATGCTACTAACTACTAATTAAATTTCAAGTAGGCTTGAGCAAATTTATCTGAAATTTAGTTAGCAGTTAGTAGCATAATAAAGCCCATTGTAATATGGCAATTGTTTGTGTAAATAGAATAGATTGATAAAAATTGTGAAGACCACCATTCCCCCCCCCCACCAAAATTTGTTGTTACTATATATATGTGTGTGTATGTATTTGTGAATTTGTTATTTACATATTTACATTATATGTAATAATCTTAGTTTAGCCACTTTGTTGTCACTTTAATTAATTAGTTAGAGATTTTATTGTATTTAAACATTGTATTTATTTTATATCCTTTTTCTTTTGAACCCACATCTTGAAGATTCCAAGTTTGTTTATACATGGATCAAAGTGTAAGAGAAATTTGCCTATTTTTCCAATTCTAGGGACTTCCCTAATGATTTAGAGAAACAATTTAGAATATTAATTAATGGCAATAAATCTCACAACATGCAAAGAAAAGGACGAGAGGACAATTAAATAATTAAATAAATTTATAAGAGAATAAAACTTAAAGAAAGTGGAAAAACACCACTTCATGCCCTCCCGATCATAGCGGAAATCGAACATCGTTTCAAGGCACAACCAAACAATTGATGAATAATGATGGGATTTGTCAGTGAAAGCAGTTTTGCTTTTGTGATGACTCAGCTCAAAAGTCAAACCAATACGATAGTAAGCCATATCATCACTCTCCTGCACTGAAAAGTGTATAAAAGAGGCACAAATCCAGACAGACAGAGCTCCTCGGCAGACAGCGGTAGAAAGCACCGGCCTTTCCAGACTCTCAAAGAACCATCCCATACAAGGAAGACATCAGTGGCAGACATCAGCAGTAGACATAAGTGGACCCATCCCGCCATAATTGCAAGGAAATTTTGTCTAGAAGCGAACGCCATTTATCGGCAGACATCAGTGAAGGACCAAGCAAAAGGGAAGAAAGAAATATAGGGTTGGCAACTAAGTGATTGCAGATTTTAAATAAGAAGGAAAATTCAAAATATTTGCTTAAAAATATAACTTTATTCAATTAGGTATTGTCCATTTTTGTTAATGACCTTTTGCCATCTTTCAGGCAGTGTCATAATTCCATGTTCATAAAACTTTGATTTTTGCCAGCAAAAAACTGAATTAAATGTGTTTTTACATCATCAGCATCATTAAAAATTTTACCATTTAAGGAGTTCTGCATGGAACGAAATAAATGGTAATCTGAAGGCACAAGGTCAGGGCCATATGGTGGATGTGACAACACATCCCAACCTAGCTCCAATAATTTTTGGCGAGTGACCAAAGATGTGTGGGGCTTTGCATTATCATGCTGGAAAACAACACCCTTA